TTGTCTAGGTTAAGGGCAAGCGGCGCGTATAGCGCAGTGGTTGGAGGGCCTCTGCAATGAGCACATGGGATCGATCCTTGCGTCGGTGGCTCGCCAAGCCTTCCTTCTCCTGGAGTTGGCAAATTGGTACCAAACTTGTCTGGGAGGATAGCAGAACTAACTCGATACATCGGTAAGGCGCCGCGAGTCTTTGTAAAAGCCATATATGCATTCAATCACCTCCAACGATGCTCAATGAAGTCGAATGCATGACGCATTCCTTATGGACTGATCAAAGCCGAGAGCTTTGTCCTTTGTTTATCCTTTAGGTTATTGGACTAAAGCAAGCGTTAAACGACAATTAAACGATAAATACAGAACTGGTTAGATTCCGGACTATGTCTGTACAAAACTTCGTAAATATTTCTGACTTGTGTTGGTGAAGAAATCTCCATATATACTGCAAAATCGAGCGTCGTCATAAAGAATAAGTTCTGCGCAGTTTTCTGAATAGTTAACTGCAATACGCCTTAGCATGGTTTCCATGAAGGATGCCACTTTGTTTGCTAATCATTAGAGATGTAAAAAGAGGTTATTTGCACAGCGTCACGCTCTCTTTATTCCTCTCGCATCTACACAAACAGCTAGTCGTTACGAATAATAGCGCAATCACTAGCTTACATTTTCCACTGGTTTAGTATGCTGATGGTTGGGCAGGACTGTTTCGGTGATAAACTTACAAAGACATCCAGCAGTTTATGATAGGTTTCGACTATACGATCTCGCTGATCCGTTCAGAACGGAAATTCTTTGTCACTAGCTTCGTTTAGCACGGTAGTGATTATTGACATTGGCTTACTATTGCATAGCGCAAGAAGTTTAACAATGTCCCGGAATATAGTAATCGCCTTTCGATTCCCAATAGCAGTTCGTAGAAGAACGATTAATAGGACCTTACGGTCATACATGTGCACACTTGACACCATCCACGTTCTCGAAATGAAACAAATTATCATCAACGTTTCTAGTGTGCGTTTATGTCTTCTACTCTTTTCTCTATTTTTCATATACATGTCTGCACAAATGAACGAAAAGTAGAGCTTAGGTGCATCTTGGCACGGAACAGCATTAGTGAGAGCCTATCTGAATCATTGGCTATCTTAAGATCTACGTAGTCCCAATCACCTGAAGGAAAAGCTCAACGAGCTCAACAACGATGTTCTGTAAATTGCTAATCCCACTGTTTTGCAAGGCGTTCCGAATACAAACGTTGAGCGAAGTATAATTAAAATTTAGCAAGACGTCCAAGAGCCAATACTGCCATAATGAGCGAGTAAACACTTGATTAGGTCACCTCAAAATCCTATTGATGGCCTCGATCGCCTCTCCGATTTGGCTACTTCCTCTTTGTTCCCGATCTGCTTTCTCCAAACCTGCAAACTTAAGTCTCAGAAAATCATGGATTTCCAATCATTAAATAGTGAAGTGATTCCATGTAAGATTCCCCATTACCAGATATAAACATCGCTCAAGTACCATACCCCTTAGTACTGCACTTATGGCATTGCGACAGGTGACGATGGTGAAACAGTTTGTGGCTACGTACGGTAACATTCATGATATTTTCTTTTGTGGTCTATGTACGAAGAAAAAACTACAGTGACAATGCAATAAATAAAGGGAGGTGGCAACCACAATGTTGTTGAGATATAACTGAAACTCGGGACGCTAAATGAGCTTTGAACTCACGATTACCCTTTCTGAGGCTCACGCGGTATCCACTGCTCAACCGAAACCCTTGCTTTGTCTTCCTCAAAAAACGTGGATAAATTAATCAAATAGTGGAAAATGTTATCCTTTGCTTCACTGCGAACGGTTAGTACATGGACAGCAGTCCTATTCACCTGCATCATCTCTCACCTATCGCCCGTTGACCCCTGAGCGACTCCATCGATCGCCAGCAAATCAACCATATCCATTTTTCCATGTCGCATGAGGAGTAACTCCGTGGGTCCTTAACGCTCTATGGACTCGTTGAGCATCATATCTTCCTTCTAGGGTTTTCATGAAAAACGTTGACTATCGGGTGTCTTGTATTGCTGCAGTACTTTCAACATTCCGAGGAATCCAGTCACTAACGGCTCTTGTCCACCGGCAGGCGTACGCACTACGTGTCCAGTTCACCTTATTTTCGACATTTTGCCGTGTAGAACGGCGTCATTGATTTTCGATCATTGACGTAAATCAGAACATCAAAGTCGGACAGTTATTGTCCTCTTCACTACACCCTTGATGCTGTTGGAACTCCACAAGCCCTTCGTTTCCTCCTGCTCACCTATGCGCCTAGGTCGTTCGTCGTGTTGATTTCCCGACTCTAGACAGAGGTAACTGGAGCTTTCGCTAATCGTCACTCCGTTGAACGTGAATAGAGCATACGAAACCAATGCGATCCTCATGAACATCGTTTTTGTGAGATTTAGTCGAAGAACAATCTTTCCATAGGTTTTATCAAAGTCGGCAAGCATTCGTTCCGCTTGGATAATGTTCGGTGATATAAGAACGATGTCATCAGCAAAGCGAAAATGGTGTAACTGCCGACCATTGATTTTCACTCCCGTGTTATTCCATTCCAATGTTGAGACACGCGAGACGAAGGACCCGCATGGCGTGGTGGTGAACGCGTTACTCCCCGGAAAGGACATTAGCGCGTTCGTTCCCCACCGCAGACACCTGCGGTCCGGAGTTTTGTAAATATCTCACCATCATTAAAGTTATATTTCGCAATATATACCCTGCCGTTAAAAAGAGTAGGCAGTAAATAATAAGTTAAATTAATGATAATATCGTTGCAGAATGGTGATATTTTAATCTCTGTCTCTATGTCAAGTGAACCAATACTTTTCTAGATCGACGAAAGTGAGATAGAGTGGTCACCTGTGCTCTTGGGTTACTCGTCTGAGTCGTGTTATCGCGTGAATATGATCCATTATACTAAATCGTTCTCGAAACACTGCTTCTCATATGGCTCTCCTTCAAACAGCGAACCGTTTGCAGCTTCGCGCGTAACTGCTGCTCTTCTCTGTTTAAGATCTTGTTTGAGTGCCTTCGTGCATTGTTTAGCAAGTTCGGACGTGACTTTTCGGTTGCCTGTAGCTCGTGTGGTTCCACGCTGGCGTATCAGCTCGAGTGTTTCTGGCGACAGACGCCTCTTGATGGCTTTCGAATTCCCAGCTTTCACAGCGCTTACACGAAGATGTTGAATGAGCCGATCGTATTCCGCATAGATGTTATTGGCAACGGTGTCTTCCCAAAAGCTAAGTAGCCAGTTGAACAACTCTCCTAGTTTATGGTGGTTTTGCGGCTTCGTTTTTTGAATTTAGCGGCTTTTTCTTCTCTCTGCAAGGAATGGAATCTTGCACGAAGGAGGCGATGGTCTGGTCCCTGTGCAATTTCGGACAGCACCTACATCGGCTAGGCGGAATTTTGATTTGCTGTGATTTGGTCTGTTTCTTTGTGGTAGGCTCTATTAAATTTCGGCATTTCGGCAACCAGTGTTCTTCTTCCGGAATTGTGAGTCACGATGGATGCTCATTTTCGTCATGATGAACTCAGGCAACCACTCACGCCACCCATTCCATTGCAATCCGTTGGACTCTACATGACGTCCTTCAGACGTTCTTTTGTGCCCACTCATAGCGCTAAAATATCCATTGATATACTTAAAGAATGTATGGTCTTCTATGTAGAACTTCTCCAAGTTCATATTGAATGCTTCGCCTTCGTCTTCGTCATAGCGTGATGTCGATGCGTAGACGATGAAGATTGTCAAAGTCGGAATTGATCCACGTCCTTTTAATCGTAAACGTTCGATTCGGGTTGTAAGTTGTTCGAATGAATCGTTTTTCATAGGCAAAGTCGTGTTGATGAGACCGGCGACGCTGCCAACTCCTCTGTTGTCCCATGTTCCGAAGAACATCTCTTCTCTAGTCTCATGAACGACATCGAATGGGTGACGTCTTCTCGTCTCGATGCGGCCGATGATCTTATAGTTTATCCTTCTTGCCTGGATGGTTAAGTCTTTTATTGAAAGTTCGGTCAAAAGTGTGCATTCGTTGCAGGAACAGAACCTTAGACCTTTGCGATTTAGGCAGCCTAGAATGACGCCGATATTATAGCAGCCTATCCGTACTCGTCCCACCCTTGCCGAGCTCTAGCCGTGGGACTGTTTATACTCACGGGTAGCCTGCCAATCTCTTTGAGAACAGACGGACGAGCTCATTTGTTACAGGCGATTTCCAACCGCCTCCCATGTGTTTCTCTATCATTTTATTGCAGGCTTTTGGCCGAATTGACTCGTAGAATACAGTCCCTATAAACGAGAACACACCCATGCACGCAAGCATGAAGACGTCTTCGCAAACACGGAAGCTATGTGTCAACTAGCCGCAACAGAAACAGGAGCTCCATCTCCTGGATCCACCCGCGCCTCAGAGAAGCATATCGCTTCTCGTCCGCGACTAATTCGCTAACCACTACCTGAGGTCGCGCTACCTTGTCTCACGAATGACCGACATTAGATCCCTTTATGAGATAGGTTCGCAGTCACATTACAAACGCTGCTGTGTAGACGAGTGTAACATAACTTTGCACTGATTCTCATACCGAAGTAGAGGTGGTCGAGTAAAAATAAATCAACGTGCTTGTTTTTCTTTCCTCTCTCTCACATGACCGTCCAGACGTTTCTCAGAGTTTTACGAACGCTATTTCTCTACTAACTTTTTCAACACAACAAAAATCTGCAATACAGGACATCACTGGGTGTTGACATGAGCACAACGGAAGCTCATATTGGTGACTTTTCACAAAATTTCATGTCTTGAAGTGGAATCTGAAGGGACTAGCGAGTTGCGTACCTTAACGTAATAAGTTTGATAGCTAAACTACATTTTTAGTGGTCGAGAACAAAGAGTTGGACGGACTCTGGACGAGTTGCTTAGTCTTAAGTTAGAATACGTATTCAACTATAGTAGTTTCAAGGACTTCTGTTTTACGTGACCATTCAGTAGGTCGTTTCGTAGCATCGGCTCACCAATCCCAATTGGCCCAACACCCATTTCATGCTAAAATAAGGTACGTTGTGAAAAATTCAATTGTTACGATTTTATGTTACGAAAACCCATTCGTGTTCTAACTCTACTGCAACGTTTACTTCTAATGCTTACTTTTTATCTACTGAGGACTACAATTTTCACGGAGGGATATTATGCGAAAGCAACCACAAAGATATTGAGATACTCGCAAAACTTGGACCCAGGACCAGATCGAACCACGATTTCACTTTCCCGGTTTTTGCGCATTGCACAATGCTGCACGGAGGCCTTTTTTCTGCGTTTCTCTCAGCTAGTTTTCGATCTACCAGTGCCATGAGCAATCACGCGTCAACCGGGTTGATCTGGGGAGTCCACATCGGCATTGAACCCAGCCAAGCTGAGGCTGCACTCGAAATCACAATGCTTACTTTTTCATTTTCTCCCTAATACAATCTTCACGGTAGGAAAGTTAAGCGAAATCAACCACAATGGTGTTGAGACATTCGCAAAACACGGACCCCTTGCAAGGTCGACGATTCCACTTTTGGGGTTGTCGCGCACTACAGAGTGCGGCACGGAGGCCTTCGCCTTGCGTTTCTCTCAGCTAATTTTCTATCTCAGCTATCTAAGTTTTGCGAATATCTCAGCATCGTTGTGATTTCACTTATGGTTCTCCGAATTTGTTTTCTAGTAGTTTTTTCAGTGGGTCTTTTCTTTGTGTGCACTTAATGTCTCCTGTAACTTTAGATCGGAAAAAGGTAGCACATATATAGACTGTAAAGTCATAATCTATGATACATCTCCTGAATCTTTGTTACCTGAGAGTGTCATAGTGTTAAATGTAGGATATCGAATCTCTTACGCTCAAGGATGAGCTTCACGCTCGGAAGGCGTTTTACCGGTTCAGCCATGATCTCCACGACACGCTCTCGTTTAAATAAATTATTTCTTTCTTGGTCCTTAATAAAACTGTTTCATACCCAATCGGGTAGAACATAAATTACACCGAGATTATTTCTCGAACATTCTCAAGTGGACCTACCTCGATAAATTCCTTTAGTTTCGGGTCTTGCTCACAGGCGTTTCGCAGCTTGTCTGCTGCAATATCGAAGTAGTTGGAGTACGACGAATAAATCCGTCGGAGATCGTCGAATACTTCGGTCCAGATCTTCTACAAATTTTATTCACCAGTTCATTTATTCACTGGCTTGTTTTGATTAGGTGTGGCATGATTTCGATCTCACACAAAATTTTCCGAAATTTGAAAAATCTGTTTGAGTTCTATCCTCCCAACGGTTTACCGCCTCATCGTGGCCACGAGGCATTCCTGGGTGTCCGGCTGCGATGTACAGCGAGAGAACTCATCCCCGCGGCAGAGATTGTCGACCTGAGGAATCTGGCGTTCCCATCAGGAAACTCAGCTAAAAGTAGACCAATACCAGGATCCCCCACCGCCCTGATATCAAACTAGTCGTATGGTGACAAGACTCCTTTTGATCCACAAGAACTGCAACAGTTTGTGGTGGTGACGACCTGTGACAGACTTTGGTCAGGCTGACCTCGGGATTCGAAGGAAACACGGTGGCTTAACCATCAAAACTCTGAATAATGGAGATTATGCTGGGGCCCACACAACCAGTGAGGACGGGCCGTCCAAGTATCCAAGCAAGTAACTCCCACGACCGACTTTCTATTAACCTCGGCATTGATTTAATAATTTTTTCTACTTCTGTTTAGCAAGGTTTGAGTGTGTGTCTAAAGCGTGCGGGGACGAATACGTTGGCGAAACGGGTAGACCACTCTGCGTACGTATAAAAGAACACCTAGTCGGCAAACGTAAACCAAATACTCCACTACGCACGCATAGGACGCAGCGACATAACGGAGAAGATTTTGAAGCAGCGGTTTGGCTATGGAGGTGTTTGGCCGTGTAGATTGTAGTCAACTTGATCTTTCCAGGCTCTGAGGAAGGCGAAATCCGCCGAAATGTAACTTGTGCGTAAATAAAGAAATAAAATAACACCAAGTAAGTTTGAGTTTTGTAGAGATTTGACAATATTCTAAGTCACTTCTCTACAATTTGGTCTTGTGTATAAAATCGCGACGGATATTTTAATGACTGCCACTAATATAAAATTCTACAAAGCTTTTGTGGAGTTCCATTTGTATTTGCATGGACTGGAAACAGTAATTTTACTTTCTACCGTTCGCTAGGAATCTTCCATGCTTCAAGTTATTTTTGCCACTGGTGTTCAGATTCTCCATGGCTTTGATAACTGTCATGTTATGGGCGAAATTCTTGAATACGAGATTGTGAAAGAGTTTTTGAGCTGTCTTACTATGATATCCTTAGCGGCGACTGCGTGGTGACGACCTGGAGCAGACTTTGGCCAGGCTGACTTTGAGATTTCAGGGAAGCACAATGGCTAGACCAGCAAAACTTCGAAAAAACGAAAATTATACTGGGGCTCGTACAACCAATGAAGACGGGCCATCCAAGTATCCAAGTAAATAACTACAGACAATAAGTACTGGCATAGCCTGTCTAGATTTGGAAGTCAATAAAAGAGAAGGAAACGCGTCTTTGGATAATCATATGATTAGAGCACTTACCGTTACCATATCGCACATATTCTCGTCCCATGTCTCAGTTAACTTTCCAAGCTTGTCACAAATTCTTTCGTGCAGATTCATAACTGGCTCTACTTTCCCAAAAACTTGGGCTATTTCTTCCTGTTTCAAAAGTGGACGTTCCTTAGCGACGCGGTCCATGAGTTCATCTTTCACCTGAATTAGTGTGAAGGACGTAAAGCGACCTATTTGAGGTCGAGAATTTGCTGTGAACAGTTATACTTACCATAATCAAAAGCTTAAGCTTTTCAATGAAATTCCTTTGGGTTGTATACATTTCTCTACAAACATGGTACCTCTCGTCGATCAGGATTGCAGTGATCGTGGATTCTGGACCAATAGAGTTTTTTTTGTCAAGTCAAATGCAGACGTAACTGTTGAACACGGCTTAAGTCCCTGCTTCTCTCCTCATCAATAAGATTTCTACAAAGTTTCCGTATGAGTGAAATCGTACCGCATAGGCTCTCATCTAGTTGCGTCGTGTCTTCATTGAGGACGACGGTCGTTTCGAGAGTAGAATGTTGCGTGTTGTGCGTGCAAACAGACTTCCACGATTTCTAAAGCAGTAAGGTGAACTGCTATGATAGAAAAAGACGATACTATGCGATGTTCAGGTCAGCGGCAGGTGTCCGTCACCTGCCATGAAGTCGAAAAGATATGTTTTTTTTTGTGAGTAGTATGGAGCTTTCTCTCTTCTTCAAGGTGGAATTACTACAACTTTTTGCATTGGATATTTTTAACATAATTTATCATAAGATATCGTAAATGTAGTGTTCTGAGCGATGTCAGAAACACTTTTTTTAGGGAAAGTCTCACGGCTTTAGCAATTCGTTATTATTTTTGTCCTATCTCAAAACTCTTCTAGCGACGGCCTGCAAAGGAATTTGTTCCTAGGCTACAAAAATTAGTGAGTGGTTGTAGTGCTGGGAATAAAGGTGCCTCACAGTAGCATACGCAGCTGATGATCTGATCCCCATCTCATTATAAATGCAGTAGGTTTCTTCTCCATACCTCCGCTTGCAAAATGGAACCAGGATCTTATGAGGAAGATAAAAACGTTGACTTCATATATCCACAAAGCTGGCAAGCACAACGTTAAATGGAGTCAAATGCATATCGTTTCGCTAAGAGATTGATCAACGCCTAACACGTTACCGTTTTCCACTCCAAAAAAACCATGGTGAAAACGCTGAGGTAAAATCGAAGCTATAAGTGCGAATGGTAAGTGAAACATGCAAGTCGAAAGCCACCGGTACTTCTGCAGTCTTCGTCTCGTGCTGGATTAGTTGAACAGCCATTGTAGAACCGGTATTCACTTTACCAGGTGAAGAGAATGAGACCTTCTCGTTGGTCGGTCACGCTGTGTTTTATCTCAGTATAATCCTAAGTCGATAACGATAAGGCTATGTATAATATCAGAGGGATGATAATGGTAGTGGTAATATTGCAGATACTCCCCCCAATGACTATCTCGTTACCGCGGCTAAGTGGTTTTCCATAGTGTAAGCATGCGATGTGAAGCGGCGGTTCATCTCATCAGTGGAATCGCTATGCAATTTGACCTTTATATTTGGAAACTCCGAATAAACCGATGTCCAAAATCACTGCTGCTGCATTGAAAGAAACCTAGACGTCAAGAAAAAGGCCGCTCGTCTTTAGGTGGAACATATGTCCAATTAACAGATTACCAGACTAACCCCTTCGTCTTGTGAACACCGACTGTTCAAATAGAAGAATCAACTGTGATTTGATATGCTGGTCTTCTAATGTTTTCTTTTACCTTGGTATTTTTTGCTAAACCGTACCCAGTTCTGATAGCTTACACTGAATGATCAGTTCGAATGTTTATTTCAGTATCTCTTAATGTTTAGTTCCTCGTTTCCACACGATTAAAGCGGTATCTAGAACCCCGTCTACGTAATCTACTCAGTTGCTCTTTGATGTGATGAATCTTTAGACTTTCATGAATCCAATTTCACCTTTCGATATTATAAAGCTCTTGTGGGACGTAGTATTTTATAATTCTTCAGTATGCGTACATGCTTTAGTAGTCCATCGAAATATCATTAGGAATCCAACAACTCTTCATTTAAAAGGTTACAGGTTAAAGACTGATAAAGCACGGTTTTCCTGCTCTTCCCCAATCCGCAAACAGCCATTCTAATTCTTCCGATCATTGTCCATTTTTTGAAATATTTTACATTCTTCATGACTCGTCACATCTACCGTGCGCATCCAACCCCTTCTTGCATTCAATTTCTTTTCTTCGCATTCATCGCCCAGAAAGGTCCTCCAGCATTTCGTGTAGTTTCGGATGCTGCTTGAAGATTTTGTATTCACTGTGAGCGGCACAGAGTGCTTGTGCTCGAGTCGATTCTCCACGTAAGCTTGGAGCCTTCCGAGCTAGGCTGCTCCCATATCACTTTAAAATGGAGGCCATTATTAAAAAAAGCCGCCATTAATTTCTGAGCAACCTAGTACTTTTCACTAACCGATCGGCGTTTCGATTCTACTGAGAAAGAATCGATCTTGAAATACTTGGGCAAGGAAACACAACTCTGTAGATACTGTACATAAACCACAATGGTGCTGAGATATTTTCAAAACTCCAAACCACAGGTGTCTACGAACGCCTATCACCCTTTCCGGAGGATAACGCGTTCACCACCACACCATGAGGCTCTTTTGTTTCGTCTGTCTTTCAGCTAGTTCTATCGATCAGTGCCATTAGCAATCACTGTGCATAAATTTTGTCACCGATCTACGTAGTTATCTCAATTTTTCCTCTTCAAAGGAAGTTTATTCGCTGGGTGATACCCATTGCGACCGATGAGTATCCTCTGACAGATAACCTGGCGAAAACGATATGCAGAATGACAATCCAGAAGTTCAACATATTTATACTATATAGAAGATCTATATAATTCATTGCTTTAGAAATAAAGAATATAAGAGGAAGAACAGAGTCCGAATGAGAACATGAAAGATTTGCTTTAAATTATTCACATGCATCTTCTGAATGAAATCGTAACCACTACAGGGAGCATAAAATTACCGAATGACACCGTATATCAATGTAATTAAAAGAATGAGTGGAACGTCATATACAGGTCTCTCCAGATATTATTTACAGTAAACGAACCAGTACTGAGAAAATAGCACTACTCAAATCTAGCGACAATGATAAGAACTCTACTTGCTCAATTTTCTACCGAGTGCGCATCATCATTCCGAGGCAACGACGGGAATTCCATATGAAACAACCGCAGCTCCTGTCAGGTATGGCAATTTGCATCTGCTTTTCGCCTTTTTCATAGCTTCAACAAGCAATCGCAGACGGCTATCACCATCTTCGGTGCCGGTCAGTGTACGATTTGCATCTGATGAGAAACACAGGTCGACCTAAAAGTACAACTGCGATTTCTTCTTCTCGATTTCGAGAATTCACTTTTGCTTCCGAAACAAGCTCATATTCAGCCGTAAGCAAACCCAATCCAGTCCAATTATAAAACCCACCAATATTAAAAAAAATACCCAGAACGGTCTTAATTCCTTGTCTACCAATAAACAGAGTATATGTAGGTATATTCACTTCTAAGATAGTCATGACTCAAAAAATTGAACACTCGCTTCATTTCTTGACCTTACAGTGGAAAACTGATGCTCCATTCGACAAACCCCAATGCTATTTTACAAAAAATGATTCATAAAATGGCCGAGATGACTCATAGAAACCAAAACGTCATTCTGCCCGCTTTGCTTGGCCGAGATGCAGAGGTGCACTACATAAAAATGGCTTCTGACTGTAACAGCCATTGTACAATGACGAAGCTATTATAGTTGGTAAACGGATACGATAAGGCACATAATTTCAACAATAAGGTTCATCGTCAGTGTTATACGCTCTTATTCGAGTGGGGCAAAAAGCGAAATGAGTTGATGAACAGTTCCTTTTCTGCAGTCGTAATTTTTCTGGTGACATGCAATGTTTCCAAAAAGTAGGAGCAGCAAACAAAATGCTACCCTAAATCAATGAAGCGAGGAGAAGGAGAGGAATGAGCCAAGAAAAACTCAATCCATAAAAAACACCTGGTGCCGAGAAGAATAAGTCACTCTCAATGGATCTACATCCTACCAATCCCAGTGATGTGTAGTGGACATGTTTAATGATTTAGGAGTAAAACTAGAAGGAGCAACGCAGGCTAACATCGAGTCTCTAACATACTCCAATGTCAAAGTTTTTGATCCAAACATACTTCTCACTTATTTTACGCAACAGTTCTTTCAGCAAAGTCATGTAGCAGAAACACGGACTGATAATTCGGCCGCATTGCAAAGATAGTGCATCATGCACAGGACGCTTGAGCCATATCTTGTGAAGATTAACTGTTTCACTCATCACCAAGCATCGCAAACTCCTATCAAGAGGTACCACTGTGGTATCCGTCACACACGCTGCTCAAAACCAAACGCCAGTTTGAGCTTCCTAAACATTTGGAAACAACATAATGTACAAAAATAAAAATACTTAGTTCCTCAACAGAACACCACATGTATACGATGCGAACGTCATTGCAAATAACTCTGTATCCTGATCAGAAAGTTTTACCCCGTCTGGGATCTATATTCTCCAAACTTTGTTCCTTCCAGTCATCGGCTAACGTGTGGAGGTAATCCTGAGAGTAAACAAAACCATCTTGGAACCAAGACCACCGGCGATACAATACAACTCGAAAGTGATATCAATAATTTCTTCGTCATACAATCTTCAGAGCTTCGTAAACTTTTCTTTCCATCTATTACGGATACGACTCGGCCAGTTAAATCACAGAAAATTTAGTGAGGAATTCAGACAGCTGTTCTCTCTCCATTTAAGTCCATTTGTGCCTGAATTCCTCCACAAAAAAGGCAGTAGAATTTTGGCAGTTGTTTAACACTTTGTGAGGACGACACATGTATCCTGGACGACAGTTGAGCACTAGAGAAAAATAGTGATTACTTAAGCAGAATTAATGACAATTCACTCCTTCCATTCTCACCAATTTGCTCTGCATGATTTCCTTTTTAAGTCAAATTGGTAACAACTTTTAATCTCATATGAGTATTAAGCGATGCTTGCGTTTTTATGACTAATACCTTCTGAGGAATTCACGAAGCCGTCAAGATTTTGACAGGAATGTACGTCTACATCACAGTGATGCTACTTGAAACTAAAACTTCGTGATTGCCTTATCAAGAAAGTAGGAGCATAACATGACACAAAGAACATTTAAAAACAACTTACAAGTGCCATAAAATAACGATCAATTTCACCGTCCGTTACAGTCCACAAACATCCAACCACTGAAGGGCACTGCGCTACGGTATAGTCATATACGGAACTTTTTCCATCCATTCCCCAACCAAGGGTAGTGAGGCGAACGCTGAATTGATATATTTCCAAAATGATCCATCTTTATAAAAACACTTTTATTCACGGCAGTTCGGTTATTCAAAAAGTATAGGTAATCAACGACATCAGTAAAATACTTTAGTACTTGGGAACTTCATAAGCTCACAGAGATGTTTCTATAGCGCCATAAAGGTATCTGCAAATCTCTCGAAACATTATTTATATCTTGGTTTTCAGAAGAAACCTTAAAAGTACTTACATAATAGAAAAGTCCAGGAATTTCAACAGAAGCTTATTCCAATGACCAAAGAACACATACTGTGTGGATCACAGCATTGCTTTCAACCAATTCGTTTCCTCACACCCATCATCAACAAAAATATTCGGATTCTACATCTTTACTCGGCTACTGCTTCAATTCGTAAACGATCTTGAATGTTGGTCGAGTGGATTCCCTCCATAATCCTGGGGCAGTTGTGTTAAGATGTTCTTATGTAATCACACCACAGTCAGTGCTTAACCTTTGCAGATCGGAAGGGCATTTACAGAGAAATTTGGTACAAATTTGAGGAGTTCAGAGGGAACAGATGGCGGAGAACCAGAACCATTGACGGGTAGAACCAACGGGCATATTAATATGCTACATTTTTGAGAACTAAGTAAAATTCCGGCTTCGCGGAAAAAGTGTGAAGCCAATTAGCAAATTCTTACAGAACGGAGATAAAATAAGAGTTTAAGGACAGAAGGACAGCAATAACGTCTTAAGCCACAGAGATCCGGAAGACCATCCTCAGCGCTCACGGAAACGTTGCCAATTACAAGACTACCGACGATTACCCTCCAAAGCTGAGATGGAACTTCTTTTGTTAAAAATAAAAATAAATAAAAACAAAGATAAACACAAAAAACAAACAGTAAAATAAAGAAAAATATTCTACAACCAGGAACACTCCCTCGTCATTGCGAGCTGGAAAACGTTTGAGAGAATGTTTTCAATAAAAAATCTATAAAATGAACTCCTGATCGGCATAGTTTCGTAGACTGTTCAGTTAACACGAGAGTGTTACAAAATTCTCATTCGACTTCCATTTCGACATCTTCGTTTCTTTCAGAGTCGGACTGATCCGAGTTGATTGCTCAAAGCCATTCATTCACCTGAGGTCATACCATATGTTAAGCAATTCACAGCCGATTACAAAGCCACAACGAAAGGATTCTAAGCTGAATCGAATATCCTCTATTGTTCCGGAACAACCACTGCTTCTAGAAAATAAAAAGAAAATCATTCGGAACTTCCATTCTGATCTTCTCAACAGTCATTTCCTCCTATCTCCATATCAAACTCCATATCAAATCAAGGTGTATGTGTGTCCGACTTTTGGTTCTTGCTTTCGTAGCCTGGCACGCAATTTTGTCGGCCAAAGATCGTTCGACACCCGACCCAAACAGAATTAGATCCAAATGTCTGAAGAACTTTCAGCCAGCCTTCATTAACATATTGGCGTAACAGTTCTCAAGTTTCCCATCAGAATACAAAATTCGTTATTAATGGAGAACCAACAAGAGCGCTTTTTCGTACAAAAAAAACCACTCGACAATTATGCCCCAATTTGACTCCTTTCCGTCATTTATAATACGAACTCTTCACGTGACTTATCATGAAAAGCATTGTCAGAAGATTGAAGGAAAGGTAGCCACCCGACCAGCTGAAACCGAAGCGGTCATAGAAGGTCCACCTTAGTACTGAAATGAGCCATAGTTCAACAATCAGAAACATATGACCACCCCGGTAAATACTAAAAACTTTGAGAGGATTTCCAATACTGTTGCTAGTAGAAAGGTATGCAATTCAGTTGTGCAGTTGTAGTTCTTTCGCTTCATAGGGAAATCCTTAACCCTACCACTACCTCAACCCTTTGAATTAAAAAAAATTAACAATTTAAATCTTTTGAAAGTAACATACACAATAATACACGACATTTAAAACTTATGTGAAATAATAGCGAACCTTCCACAACCCATAAGCACACTGACTGCATTAATTGTGCTCTCACTAATAGCCCGTCGGCCAAAATATCGTGAACCACTGCCATGACCCATGTAGCTGAACACAAAGCTATGAAGACGAGCACGTACATAGTTACCTAGTAATTGTAGAAGTCTTTAAATATGCCCGCACAAGAACACATCCTGTTGTCTTAGTGCTTCTGTAACCTCAGCAGGTGACGGAATTTTGCCAACGATTCCCTGCCAGCCGAATTTCGACACATAGTTCGTTATCCGTTTTTGTGTTTCGCCCAGATTATTATCAGGATCAAGCACATAAAATGCTTTCTGGATATTGACTGCCATTGGCACCTTGAAAACATGAAATTATTTTCAAAAAAACCAACTGGTAACAAAGTATAGAACGGTGCTCTTATACAAAATAAGAGACAGATAAGCCAACCCGTTTATTACTACTTAGAGCTTGGAAGAAGGTATGCACCGAAGGAACACGAGCTACATGTGTTGCCCCATCAAATATTGGAACAACTTCCCATGGAAAGGTCGTTAAGTCCTGAAAGCAAATGAACAGATGGTGAAAAAGTGGAATAAAACATCTATTTAAGAAACAACGAACTGCAGAATTAGAAGGATGCCAGGTTGATTTCAAAAACATTTTTTAACAGAAACATTAGACACTCACCGGACAAACTATTAAGAAAGTATACGACGGGATATTATTACCAAGTCCAATATTCAATGCCGAGGTTTTAGTTCTAGAAACAAGGACTTCTTGTCAACCACAACCAAAAATTGGTACACAACTCACTTTGAATACAGGTCTTGAATAAATTGTTTCCGTGAAGATATTCCAAGAATATCACACATTCTCTCAACAACGGCTACCCATTCCGTCCTTTCTATTTTGGTTGCCAAGGATACTAGTTCCTGTAAGAAAATAACCATACTCTCATTGATCACCCTCCGGCCATAGACAAGCATTCTTTGTCCTTCAGCACGCACTGGGGAAGGATACTGGGTTTTTCGGCGATATACGATAGTTTTACGATAACTAGAATACTTGAGTAGTTGGGTCCATAAAATACTTTTAGAACAGGCTTCGCCCTACTACTCTAGAAGCAAACACAGTAGTTTCAGCAAATGTGGCCATACATTTTTCTGGGGCATTCGATCCCTTTCGTGTAAGTTTATTTTTGTTGTTTCTCTTCATATCACCGTCTTCTGCCTATTTATTTCGCTTTCTCCTATCACCTGATCAATTATTGGACCGTACCTTTGAAAGTTTCCAGCGAAGCAATGTAGAGCACAACTTTTCCTTCAAAGAATTTGCGATCGAGAGTGGTTATGCAAAAGTTCAATACTCAGCGGATAATGCCGCTGTGCTTCATAGAAACGAGCGAACAAAACGCGTCTTACAGTCAACTTGTTAAAAGAAGTAGTAAATGGTACGTTATTTTCTTTTTTGGTTTATATGCACCTGTATCCATGCATAGTTTAGGTAGACATCTCCTCCTAGTAACTCAGGCATTTGGTCAATGCATGGATAATCTGTTACGTATATGAGCATGAGATCTCAATCAAGAAAATAAAGCTACATGTATAGTTGAGTCACTTCCGAGCTGGTAATACCAACATTTAGTTACTTTCTAGAAGAAACCAGTTAGGTTTGCCTTATCACACCTGTCCCAAAATATAGAAATATGCATAGAAGAACTGGAAGGATACTTAGGATATGAGAAACATAGAAATTATTAGCAAAATACGTAAACATACCAAGGACGAGGACAGCAACAAGGAGGCGGGGTCATTCGTTGGGTTAAGGTGGTTAGTGTGAACTAGTTTCTATAGACAGTATGTGAGCAGAAAAATTAAGCGTCGCATCACGCATCTACCATACGAAATTAGGGGTGAGGCTCTAAGTGTCAAATAACTGCACCAAACCAAAACGAGACTGAACTTCAAGGTCACAGCTTCTGTATTTTTGAGTAGTCAAGCACACCGGTCACACCAAATGAAAACATGCCATTACACTTTTCCGAATAAAAAAGATCGACCAAAAGCACAAAGTTAAGAAACAGAGGAAGATGTGTAATGAAGAAGAATAAGAAGGAACTTCGAAAACACTTACTTTAGCAAAGGATAAAGGAAGTTGTGCACCATTAGAAGATTGAGACGCCGCAACGAGACCTTTAGCTAACGCGATACCTTTCCGAATGATGGTAATTGACGGAAGTAAAAGCGGTGCTGCAGCACCTAGTAGCATATCTTGCACACGAGGAATTATATTCTGAAAATACGAATATTCACATAAAATACGGAAATAAACTCAGTAAAAACACATAGGTGATAAGAAAACCTTCAAATCCGTATCCACTGCGCGTCTTGCCGCCCAAAACGCTTTGGCATCTTTTGTAGTTTTGCCCAAATTGCAAGTTCTCGTATTTTCCTCGATGATTTTGTCCATCATGGCTTTAACACTTTCTACCTAGAAGGAATTTAAGAATTTTTAGCTAAACAGATAAAATAACTTGCAAAAAGTATACCTTAGACTTCGGCGCTAGAGGCATAACTAATGGTTCTCGATCTTTATGCATTTTGACGAGATACAAAGAACCATCATGAGACAAAGCTAAGTGGATTAAAGTAAAATCTGAAAAGGAAAATATTTTATAACTATCAAGATAAGCACAATGTTTAACGTTTTGTTTTCTGCCTTCTATAATTTTCATGGCAGGTTACTAAGCGAAATACAACCACAACGTTGCTGAAATGTGACATGAAAACCTGCCATGAAAATTATAGAAGGCAGAAAACAAAATGTTAAACATTGTGATTTCAACTACAGCCATAGCTTAACTGGGAGAAAACAAAACGTTAAAACATTGTGATTTCAACTACAGCCATAGCTTAACTGGGTTCTATGCCGATTTGCGCTCCCCAGATCAACCCCGCTGACGGGTGATTGCTGTGGCAAAAAAGATTGATCGAAATAGCTGAGAGACAGGCGAAACGAAGGACCTGTATGGTGTGGTGGTGAACGCGTTACTCCCCGGAAAGGACAATAGCGCGTTCGTTCCCCACCATAGGCACCTGCGGTCCAGATTTTTGCAAACATCTCAGCAACGTTGTGGTAATCAAGATAAGCGTTAAAGTGCATAAACTATGACACCTTCGGGCAAACTCTCAACCATTTTCTGAAATACGTCTGGTTGCGAGAAGGCGAATCCTTTCAATTTTCCTGATAAGTGCCGAGAGAGCTGTCTTGTAGCCAATAATGTCGACTCCGACCACATCATAGCGGCTAACCAAGGACCTATAAAACTAGTGTAGGTGCAAAATTTGATTCTCAGTCACTTGACCAAAACCAAATCACTCACACGAAGCATATTCACCCAAAAAGCTGCACAGTGGAAATCGCCAGTCTCTAAATAAAAAGTCAATGCAAATAAATTCAAACAATAAGTATGTTCTGTATACGGCGAACCTGTAGAGCAGATCACAATAAAGGGAATATTCAGACAAAGCCTCATCCACTACCGCCTTCTCGACAGCATTTTGTTGAACCTAAAACGATTGGAGGAACATTGACAAAATCATCAGAAGATGCACTCATTTCCTAGATGATCGATATATTGTTTAAGAAACTTCGAACTATAAGTAAGACTTTAACTGTATTAAAACTTTAGTGTGAAATGCACATTCGTGAACTTGTGTATTTATTCAAGAACGAATATCGGACAGAAATATCTCAGTATTAAAAAATATTTGGCAAAACTTCGAAAAGGCTGTTAAAAACTACAGGCTAGAATTTATTACCTGAATAGACATGGAATGATTTAAAACAATATTGATTACAATTCTGACAAAATCACTGGTTAGTAGGCTTTGTGTTCCAAAAAGCAGGATATTATTTGTACACGTGCTTCTTCAATGAACATTGAACTGACCACATAAAGAAAACAACAGTTTTGACATCAAAACATAATTAGGAGTGGATTTAGTGGTGCCAAGGAACAAACAAGAATTTCAACCCAAATTTTTTAGGATTCATGATGAAATGGATTAAAATCCATTTAGTCCCCATATTAAAACCCATGTCTTTTCTCTTGCACGCTTAACATTTGAAAAGTTGCCCAAATTTAGCTAAACACATACTTCAATATCAACTTCGTCATTCGACGAGGACTTCAATTTACGTTCATTTGTTCTTCTCTGGCTACAGAGCCACTGATGAGCTATGAAACAGGAAACTCTGGGATAGTCTAATCCTTTCTGTTCAAAACTAGTTGTGAAACTATGGAGCAAAATTATACTTATTACAATATTATAAATATTATAATAAATTATTATATTAAATTCAAAATTATACAAATCTTAACCAACACTGGCACAAAGTGGGAAAAAGGAAGATAAAAACCATCACTGTTGAAATTCGGTAATTTTTTAAATTCGTAAGAAATTAAGTAAGAAATTCGGTAACTTAGGCCTAACAAACAAACTATTCAGATTAGCACAGAATACGTACTCACTAAGAATTAGTCCACAGATGATATTGGAGAAAAAATGATGCTGAACACATTGACAACAATGTGGGCCATATGGCTCATAAATGCTTCCGTCTTGATGGAAATGCCGACAGACGGACAGAACAAAGCAGAGTTCCCATCAGGAAGTTCAGCTAAGAGTAAACCGATACCAGTATCCACCACTGACTTAGTATCAAAGTAGTCGCATGGTGGCAAGACACCTTCTGATCCACAAGGGCAGCAACTGCCTGTGGTGGTGACGACCTGGGGCAGACTTTGGCTAAGCTGACCTCGAGACTCCAGAGAACTACAACGGCTAAACCAGCAAAACTCCGAAAATGGACGTTACGCTGGCGAGTTATTCTAAAACCTATAGCTGCTGAATATATTGCTTGAGGAAAAACAAACTATTATGGACGGATTACCATTCAACGACCGTTTTCAATTAGAGTTAGCCGAGAAAATCTCGAAATAGAAGTCACCATTCCATTCCTACACAGAAATCTCAAATGTCAAACGAGTGCGGCGACTGTTTGTGGTGAAAATGTGGGAATGTGCAGGCACAGCAATTCCTGCATTCCAGAAAGAATCTTCTTTAACATCATTTAACGAAATTCATGTAGAAGACTGGAATCTCGAAGCGACAGCCGCACCCACACACAAGAACCAGAAGAGACGGATACGAGAGAACGAGCTGTGTGCAAACGCCGTCACCTTCACAGTATGTGGAGATGTGATGAATAAAAGGGTAAAGTTCTCGGCGCTGATCGATTCCCGAGGGATGTGCCTTTCAATCGAATTCAATAAGCATCGTAAGCGCTGACTGAATGCATATCTGGCTTATACAATGATTTGCGGTGGTTTGCTGAAGTATCGAATCAGTGCTGCTATCTCTCAGGCACGTCCGGTGCGGATTGCTAACCCTAGAGGGATGGAAGCTTTGATGAGCTTGAGGTACGAGACCAATTTAACGGTTATTGGAAGGTGCCTCTAACCACTGTGCTACATGTGTCCTTGAATGTGATGAATAAAAATCGACAATACATTTATATCTCTATATTTGTGAATCCTATCTGTAGTGTATGACTCCTAGGTATAAAAATATCCAGAAACAAGCACCAACTCTGCAAAGCTCTAAGAGTTAGAGATAAACATTTTAAAAATGATGTTTGAAAAATCTCGATAACAGACAATAATCTTTTGGTACTAAAATCGCTTCTATTCAATCTCTTCGCTAAACGAGACCAAAGACCCCCACCCACCACATGAAAAAAGGAAAGACACTCATCTTTGACTCCAGAAATCGGATACCATCAATGCAGAATGCTTCTGTTTGTGAAGGTTCTAGTGATACTTAGCACAAAATCACCGTAAGTTGAAAGAAAAAATCCTACGTTAAGGAGCTGAAGTTATCAATTTTAAATACATATTTTGTCGACATGAACTCTCAGTCTATAACACACCAGACTAACATAACGAAAGCGATTCGAAGTAGCGTTCAACGAATAAGCTTTGCTACAGATTCATCTCATTTGGTCTATTTTACTTGAACTTTTACTCCAACACTCAAAAACACAAATTAATTAATTTCAATTACACATGTCGATACTTTCTAGTTTCTAAACGGATTTAGTACGATGGACCACATCCACACAATAACAAGACTCATTGAAGCACCGCGAGAGTACAAAAGACCGCTCTGTCTCACTTTCATCGATTTACAGAAGACCTTTGATTCAGTTGAGATAGAAGCAGTCATAGAAGCCCTTGATAGCCAAGGAATCCCTACTCAGTACATAAAAATTCTTCGTGAGCTGTCCAAAAATTTCACAACCAAGATATCACCATTCTACAACGATATTAACATTAACGTCAAAAGAGGAGTCAGGTAAGGCGATACCATCTCACCAAAATTATTTATCGTCACCCTCCAGAACGTCATGAGAACATTGAAATGGGGTAATATGGGAGTGAAAATCGATGGTCGGCAGTTACATCATCTTCGCTTTGCTGATGACATCGCCCTTATAACACCAAACATTAGCCGAGCGGAATGTATGCTTGCCGACTTTGGTAAAACCTGTGGGAAGATCGGTCTTCGAGTAAATCTCACAAAAACGATGTTCATGAAGAACGGATTGGTTTCGTACGCCCCATTCACGCTCAACGGAACGAATTCCTCCGAATGCCCCAGTTACGTCTACCTAGGTCGGAAAATCAACATGATGAACTTCAGAGCTGAGCATAAGGAAACGAGAGGCTGGGGTAGCTTTCCAGAGCATCAAGGATATAGTGAAAAGAACAAAGAACACCCCACTCCGCCCCACATTTTCGACTCAACGGTACTTTCTGCCTTAACGTATGCGTCAGAAACCTGGTCGATGCGTAAGCAGGATGATAGATCGATCACTCAGCGTTATCGAAAGCGCAGTCGAAAGGACGATGCTAGGTGTATCCCGTTCCGCACAATTAAGGGATGGGATCCGAGGCTCCGACCTGCGTCAGCGATCAGAAATCAAAGATGCCGTTCTGTACGCCAAACAGTCAAGGATAAGGTGGGCCGCACACGTAATGCGCATGAATGACAACCGATGGACAAGAACCGTTAGTGACGGGATTCCTCGGGATATCAAACTCGACGAGTCCCTAGAGCGATCAGAACCCACTGGGCTACTCTTGCACGCAGCAGGGAAAAATGGAAGATTTACTGGCGCCCGCTCGAGTCACTCGACGATCAACGGGACTACGGGTGACACCTGACAGATTACTGTTCATTCTTAACCCTTTTATTTACTGCCTTTTCTTCTTAATGGCAGCGTATGTTACGAAATATAACTCGTATATAATGCTGATATATTTGCAAAACTCCGGACCGCAGTTGTATGCGGTGGGGAACGAACGCGCGCTATTGTCCTTTCCGGGGAGTAGCGCACTTCACCACCACACCATCCGGGTCCTTCGTTTTGCCTGTCTCTCAGCTAGTTCTATCGATCTCTACCATCAGCAGTCACCCGTCAGCGATATTGATCTGGGGAGCACAAATCGGCAATGAACCCAGTTAAGCTGAGGCTTATAATCACAATCTTAACCGTTTTTATTCACTGTCTACTCTTTTCAATGGTAGAGCATGTTGCGAAATACAACTTTAACGATGCTGAGATATTGGTGGTGAGCGCGTTACTCCCCGGAAAGGAGAATAGCGCGCGTTCGTTCCCCACCGCATACACCTGCGGTCCGGAGTTTTGCAAATATCTCAGCATTATATACGAGTTATATTGTTCATTCGATATGTCCTTTTCATTTTCTAGCATTCTTAGTTATGTAGCATAGAAATTTGAAAAAAGTACAAGGTTATTATATAAACGAATAAGTGAACTAATTATTAATAAATTAATAAGTCATTAAATTTATTAGATTAAACTTATTCACTATTGGTTTAAGTTACAAATTAACTTAATAAGCAAATAGAAAACATTTTAGAAGTACCAGATCGAAGGAATCATCATTATCCTTTGAGTCTGCAGTCCGACACACCCGTGAAGAAAAAAGATATTGCATCACCGTGTTCTGAAAATACCGCCACATTAAAAGTTCGGTATCACAGAGTAAGAAAAATCAAAATTTTAATTTAAAAAGTAAAATTAAATTTAAAACATTTGCGTACTATACTTGGATATATATACACAGACGAAAAAGGATAAGAAAAACCACAGAAATTGGTAAGTAGATTTCGGGACCAAACATTGGCAGCACAGTACTCTTGAACAATTCCATCAAATACTGGCATAAACATTAAGATACGCATTCAATTCTATGAATTTGCAGCCGAAAATGATTGCCTTTTGTTCGGCCTCTGTTGAAGTTCGTATTTCGAACAACCGAGCGACACACTGGCTTGCTTTCAGACACAGCGATATCTCCAAATCTGTCGTTAATGTCGACGATTGCTTCGCCTTCGTCAAATATTTGATTCTTTCTTGCGTTTTAGTACAACTTCAAACCTCGAATTTAAAAACGTTTAAAATATTCTTAATCTTTTCGAAGAACAAAGATGTCCTTGAAGTGATAGGAGAAAGTTGCTTCTAATAAGCACAAGTAAAACCTCAAAGTCCTCAAGCGCTCCGCTTATCGAAAATGCAACACCATCAGTAATATTTTAAACTATAATTCGAAAACAAGCACCAATCAATCCATGTCATTAAGAATTTGTTAAATGTATCTGCATTTACTTTTCACTTTTGCCCACCACAATTTTGGTTGTGCGAGAATCATCAGCCATCCATTGATAACGAGGATATCGACGAAGGCTTTGAAGGCGTTCCAAGTGTGAAATTGCCAGTCGATACGAAATCGTGCGAATCGACGAATAGGAACATATCTAAAACAAATGAAAACCCAATTTGAACAACTGGAGAACAATTTCAGATCGTCGTCCTAAGCATCGCTATAAATCTATGATTGGATTGTTTCAAATTCGACAAAAAATGAGAACTGTAACAAAGCATAGTGTGCTTCAATTTGTGGAAGTTCGCGATGGTATGTGACGGTGTTAAAAAATGTTTAGAAACTAGCACCATAAACGGGATGGAAGTTCTGCTAGCGCTACCAAACGCGTTGTGTGTGAGGGCTAACTGTAGGGGTATCTCATATGAGTAATGAAGGTTTCCCATCAACGTTCCAACCTTTTCTGTAAATCAAAAACCAGACAGACTGCCTCCTGCTACAAAATATCGGAAACGAAGTAATTAAAATATGAAACGTGGTAAATTGCAACGATAACCCCTGAACAAAATATTAGCGATTGGATTCAGCGAGGTGTCAAACGTACAACAGCAAAGAACGGACACTTTGGTAATCATTCTTCATGAAAACCCTGAATTGTATGCAGGAATCGAGAATGAATTTCTCACTTTACTTCTCAATGGATGGCCTCCATATCTTAACCAAGGATTACTGATAACCAGCAATCGTACCATGTAACCACGCTACTTGTCCAGCAGAGGTCAAAACGTCTTCAAGATTCCAAAGGAGTTTGCCTCAGTTATTCTTCAGTTTTAAATACTAGTAGACTATAAACAATGAATACTTTAGCTTTCTATCCATAAATTCATATATGTATAAAAACTATCCCGGAGCACAACACGGATACTGAGATTTGAGCAAAATCCGGTACCTCATGTGTGCTTCCAATCCCGATTACCGTTACTGAAGGTTCATCTGTTATCCACCACACCAACCTGCGCCATTGCGTTGTCTTTCTCTCAGCCAGTTTTCTACCCTAACAGTGCTATCAGCAATCACCCATTAACGGCAACGAAGCAGTCGAGACCAAACAAATAGCCAAGGAAAAGAAAAAACAAAGGCCTCGGTTAGTGCAGTGCATAACACGTGAGAACCTGGAAAAGGTAGTCGCGGGTTCGAAGCGCATCTGAAATCCAATGTTTTGCTCATATTTCGGCATCCTCGTGGTTGTATTTCTCATAATACCCTTCCACGAAGAAAAATAGGCAGCAAATAAAAAGTTAATAAATTATCCCACAGTATTCCAGCTCAGTAAACGTGTAACAGACTGTCAAAGCCAAAAATTAGATCGTGGAAAAAAAATCCCACGATTTTTCAAAGTGAACCTCGAAATTGTAGCATCGAGTAATGCTAATGCTATTTGGAGATGAACTAAGCATCAGATACAGCGACAACTACCTTGTTCATTCAATAGGTTTATTTTGAAATAAAGTTGATAAAATAGCACGTGCACAAGATTCATACACAACACCCGAAGGGAAACCCAGGATCATTCGTCATCTACTTGTCCAACTCACCGAACAACTCTAATGGGTACCAACAGCAATAATGTCTTCACTAGTCCCCGTGCAACTAGACGAACCAGTGAATTCCAACTGCATGTGGGACACGAAGAGTACTTTTTACCGTCTATTTTTCAATATTCCCTTGAAAAAAAGGTACCCATGTGCATCCATCAGGATAAGTCCTCGAAGCTGAGCATTGTCACTTTTAGTGTAACCCCTTATCCGTATCAGAACCTGTCAGAAAGCCTCGTGACTATGAAACTATGGATCACCAAATTAGGAGATGATCGTGGAACTTTACGAACTCAGTGATTTTTACTGAATATTAGCTGCCAGCTGACCACAAGTTTAAGCAGATCATTTTAGTGTAAATGAAAGAGGAGACGAGAAAACTAGGTATTTCTCATAGTTTGAAAAAAAAACAGCTGTTAAAGTCTGGAAAATTAAAGTTATTTTGTCTGCATTAATATTATATATCAATGTATAATGAATTGAAGGTATACATGAAGTCATGCAAAGGATTAAAACACCTCTTCCAGAGGACTAAAAAATCATTACCAAATATAAAAAGGAAGAATATGGTAACAAGAACGTAATACCTTCAGGGCATCTGCAATAATCCTTTCCCTGAGTGATTTCAAAGCTCTGTTTTCTCGATTCCAAGAAACGTCCTCTAGTTTACGCAACCATCGCACTACACACATAGCAAACGTCTCGCACATCGACGAAGGAGGACGCTGAAAAAATGAAAAAGCTAATTTCGATTGTGAACTAATATGGCAAAATTCGAAAATTTATGCAAATTCTAGCGATCTCTAGAACAAAACGTCGTAACACGGAAAACAGTTCCTCCACGCAACTGCAAATACGAGTAAATGAGAATAAATCAACTTTCGAGTTTGAAGGAAGAGGCAAATGGCTGGAAGAAATAGTTAAAACGGACTGGTTTAACTTTTTTGCCCAGAACAACACATTGTTCTTCTGCTGCACGAGATCTTAAGATGTGAAATTGTTGAGAGAGGCATCGAATTGAAGACTGAAAATGAAACATAACACGCAAGTGCAGTGATATAGGAAATGTACACTAACCAAAACAATCAAAATACAGTTTTTCCGAAAAGGCACCATAGCTGGTGAGCATCTGTAATTTAGTTTAAATAACTCACATCTGACATCGAATCATGGAGAAACGACGAAAACCAGTACTCGAAAGCAGAATTATAGTTTGTTTTACAAAGTCCACAAATCTTACAATCACAATGTTCGGAGAATTCATGCAACGAATACGTCACACTGAAAATAGCAAAACTTTAACACCAATCAGCTGCTTTTCTAATGTTACCTAATTGATGTCGGGACGGAGTTGCTGGTTTTCCAACAACAGACGAGAATTTTTCGATAGCTAGAGGACAGTGAGTGATTCAGGACACGATAGAACTATAGGAAAGCGTTTGAATTGAAAGTAGAGGACATGTTGACACTTGCATTCTACAATGGTCCGCCATCCAACGTTACTCTCAATATTTAGAAGTATTTCTGAATTTATGCTGCGTGCATACCTTTCTCTGTTTGTTTCTAACATTTCCCAAACCACATGGTAGCTATGACCCAACAACAACTGGAAATGGAAGAAAGTGAACTATTAAGAAGTGATCTTACCACGGCAGAAATTGAACGCACTGTGGTATTAAACTCTATCTTACCCACTATGCTCGCCAGAGTTCTCGCTGACCAACTAACACATCGAAAATCTTCCTACTTTCAAAACAAGATCTTCCAACTTCTTGTGGAACCAATGGATCAGAAAACGAAGCCAAGGTCGAAACTGGCTTCAAAGACTTCAATGCTTCCAGATTTTTTTCCAGAGCTTTACACAAACGAAATATATAAATTTGTTACCTTAGACAGAAATCTGTGGATTCTGATGAATCCTATTTCGATAAATAAAATTCATTATGAGCGTAGATGTGCCACTTTAAAGAAGGATTTTGCTTTAATTTCCGAACAACCCAATAAAAATGTTATAAGCATGCTTTGTGCAGCAATAAATCAACGAAAAAAAATGTATTAAGTGTAACGAATTTCGCTCTTTGCCAGCCCAAAAGCATTGCAAACAACGCATCTCAGGAGTTATGTGTTAACCTACTTGGATACTCGGATGACCAGTCCGCACTGGTTGTGCGGGCCCCTGCATAATCCCCATTTGATCGGAGTTTTGCTGGTTTAGCCACTGTAGTTCCCTGGAGTGCCGAGTTCAGCCTGGCAAGTCTGCCTCAGGTCATCACCACCACAGGCAGTCGCCGCGTTTGTGGGTCAGAGGAAAATTTGCCACCACGCGACTAGTTTGATACCAGGACGGTGGCAGATCCTGGCATAGGTTTACTCTTAGCTAGGCTTCCTGATAAAAACGCCAGACTTCTCCTCAGCTCGGGAGACCCTGCTGGGGCAGCACGCCTCCCAGTCACGATGACGCGGTAAACCGTTGGGAGATATGTGACAGACACTTGTTTTACAGAACAGTGTCATGAAAGGGTAATTATATGAATATTTTCGTAGAATAACAAAATAGAAATATAGACAAAACGAGATATTAAAATGGTAAAAGGCCAGGAGTCGGAACGACAAAGAGAGGAACGACAAAGATGGGACGTAGGAAGAATAGTGATACAGTACGAATAAATGTCAACATAAAGATGACTAACGATGGATAAAAGGACGGCAGCAACGGTGGGAAATGCGAAGGGCAATGAGAGCAGGAGGAAGATGCACCTATGCAAAAATTCTATAGGGTAACTCAGGGTTTCGTTAGAGTTCTCCACTCTACCTAGTAATTGTAAAACGACATTTGTGCGATTAGGAAAGCAGGTGCATTAAACTCACTCTGTCAATCTTAACTCATTAAAAGAATCAATTAGTTTGGATGTGATTGCGGTAGATCGAGTTGAAGTGATTTTTGTTTGCCTGAAAGATTGTTCTTTCCACTTCGTACATTACAATCACATTTTATGTGAGTACGTTCATCTAGAAGAAAAAGAATAGCAGAGTTAATTTACTCTAAACGGAGATCTTCAAATGATTCCCTAATCAAAGAGGCAACGGATTTTTCTCCCAATGAAGTAGAAAACTGAGGCGTAGATGCTGTTGTAGGTCTAAATACGGAGTTACGACATCAAGCAAAAAACCAGAAAAAAATCCAAAACCTGTACCAACAAATACATTGTGAAATGATACTAACACTGGTAATTCCATATCGACTAAGCTTCCAATGGAAACGTCGTCTTTTTCCTTTGAACGGCCAGATGCATTCTTAGGTAACAATTTCCTCTGCAATTAAATTGAGGTACTATAACAGCACCAATGCAGACAACCATATGAATGTATAAGATAGTGGATTTCTATTATTTCTATTCCACACGACCCATCTTCACATGTACCGCACTGTGCGGATTCCAACACATTTTGCATTCGATTCATTTCCACGCAGCTATCACCCACAAAGGTCTTCAAATTTTTGACTGCTTACAGATTTGACTGCCGCTCAGGAATTTTTCCTCTTCGTCATGAATGTCGCTCAATGTCAGTCGAATAGATGCTCACGGAATCCTGCGATGGCCGTGCTGGAGTATTCCCACGTGTATTAGAGGGCACCTTTTTCTAGAGAAATCTGGCACCAATTTCAAAACCCCGGATGAATGAAGAGTTTATGAGTTCGAGATAAGGTAGAGTCAGCATCATTCACACTATCAACGGCACCACTACCATTGCGTTACTCGCTTCTCACCAATGAATTAAGAATTTCAAAAGGAAAGTTGAAAAGACTCACGAGATACATAATTCGCATTATGTCTAGACAGGACTGCAAGTCATTCTTAAACTCTACCTGAACCACACATTGTCGAATGAGCGTGTTTACGTTGACGAACTGTTGTATTCTGAATTGTGTATAAATCTGTTTCAAATTCAATAAACGACCCTCAAATTTAGGTGAAAAATATTAAGGTTTTTTGACAAAAGTAATAACAACGGTAACTGTACATCATATCATTGTCACCACTACAATATTAAGCAGAACAATGTTTCTTAGTTTGTTTTCAAGAAGTAAACGTGTACTATTCCACTGCTATAAATTGAGGAAAATCACTTCACTTACAATGTAATTAACAGTATCGAAAATAAAGGAAAAAACTCTCGGCGATGATCAGTCCTTGAGGGAAGCGCCATGCATTCGACTTCACATTAAGCATCGTTGGAGGTGATTGAATGCATATCTGGTTTTTACAATGACTCGTGGTGGCCTACCGATGTATCGAGCCAGTGCTGCTATCCTCCCATGCAAATCTGGTACTAATTTGCCGACCCCGGAGAGATGGAAGACTTGGTGAGCCACGAGCACTGGGATCGATCCCATGTGTGTGTTGCAGGGCGCCTCCTCCCCCACACTCGCCATGTGTCGAAAACTTTATTTTATTTGATCTGTCCACACGCCTACTGTGCGAATCCCAGCACCTCCCACATTCGATCTCCTCGCATCCATTGTCCACGAAGATTTTCCAACTTTTACGTGTCGTTTCGGTTGCTGCTTGAGGATTTCCATTTCATCTTAAATGTCGTAGAAAGCTGGCCCAGAAATTCTCTCTGGAGTCCTGAGATAGTTGGCCTGGAGTGCTCCCAACTGGACTGCAGAGAGCGACTTTTTTCCCGGACAAGTCCGGTACCAATGTCCTGTCCTCGGAGGTATGATAGACTTGGTCGGCTGGACAAGGAATCGAATTAGCACCATGCTCGAACACCACTACCACCGTGCTATCCGCTCCCTTGTGTCAAAAATACCAAATCTAATACATTCATACTAGTATTAATAAAACAAGTATCATACCTGAATAGCACACCAATCTTCAAGGCACACCACAATCCTAGCTGAGAGTGAAAAGCTGCATCGTGAACCATTCCCACATTCAATAACTCGGCACAATACTCTCTTCTCAGCTCGCAACTCTCAGCATACGATGCACAAGCTTTTACTAAATAGAAGAACGAAAGGTTATAAATGGATAACGAGGTCAGAAATGGAAACAAAATTACACCTAACAAAAGAGTTGAAAAGTTAAAAAGTGGCTCTAATTTTCTCAACACATAATATTCATAAACATTCAAGCAACACTGTGATACTCCTAGATGAAGGGCCTCGAATACTTTCAGGAATCGCTTACTTTGTCAACTAATAAATTGACAGAACTTGTAGCTCATAAAATTTTGAAAAATTTGACATAAATATTTACTTGTACAAAATCACAACCAAATCACTCACAGAAATCAATAGCATTAGATGAAACCTTCATGAAATCCAAAGGTTCGGATTCTTTGTGAATTCCCGGAATTCTGTTCTTCACCACACTCTCCGACTTCGCAACGGCACGATGAAGGCAGTTAAAGGTGTCTAGAGGCTAAGTCAAAAAAAAAAATAAAATTTATAAATGATAAATAATTAGACATAGAAAAAATCAAAAGGCACCTCAACATTATCCAATGAAAAGTTTGCCGGAACTTTTGGGATATGTGAACACATCCAATTTGCTAAAGATTGTGCTTCAAAAGTTAGAAACGTTGTTCGCGAGTCCGCATTCACACTATGAGCCGTCTTTAGAAGAGTAGAGCCAGATATTGACTAAAAACCAAGAATAGCACAAAAATCTATCCTTACCCAGAAAACAAATAGAAAAATGTGTTGATACTAAGTCCGAATAATTGCTATTGAAAATGGTTGTCTGCACTAACTCTAGACTTGTGATCCCTGTTGAATTCTACGTAACATTTCACAAGACCCTTTACAAGGATGAGGTGGCTCGCAACATAATCGTCGGTTGCCTCCTTCTGTGGTGCTTTTCCTTCCTTTGTTTTCTCGAACGCCAGCGCCATTTCTGCCATCTCCCACTCGCCTGAAAAATGAACCAGAAAATCTGTGCACAAAAAAGATATTTTTCTTTTAAAAAAGGTTAACCCAGAAACGAAATCGTTTTGCAAATATTAAATATTATGGCGTTTTTTTGCCCTCTACTCCTAAACTGTAAGTTTTCGCAAAATCTGTTTGGTTTTATGGTTTCAATCCTTCACGTTTTTTAGCGAATCCTTGAAAAAATCACAATCGCACTGATTCTTCAATAAGACGATAATTTTTCAACAAGTGTAGAATCGAACTGAGATAACACTTCAGTGGAAGCGAATTTCCTTCAACAATTTAAAGGTGCACACAATTTTTATAAAACACATTTTCTAAATTCTGAATTCTTGGGATTAAAATCCATAAACAAAGTAAATTTTTGAAATCTGCTACGAAAGGGCGGTAGTTGTAGGACCCAACAATACATCGGAGAACAACATGGTATCCTATTGGATAAAACCATATTTCTTTAGTTATTTTTGGGTTCAAAACATGAGTCACCAAGAAAAAAAAGTCTATCGAGAACCAGCGTGTACTCCCGAATTGGCTCTTTGTTTATCTACTAGTCATATGAGAGGATTTTGTAGAAAATTTCCTCATCGTACACTTGTTTAGGGGGCGGACAGCACTCTGGTGGTGATATCGGTCATCGTAAGCATGGGGCTAGTTCGATTCCGCTCCAGGCCAACCAAGCCTCCCACCACTCCGAAGTCGAGGAATCTGCAAGTGAATTGTGAACGCTCCAGTCCTGTTATCTCATGACTCCAGGGAGAATCGACTCGACCAGCACTCTACGACATTCACGAAGAAATGAAAATCCTCAAGCAGCACCCGAATCCACACGTAAAGTTGGAAGATCTTCGTGGATGATGGAAGCGAGGAAACGAATCGAATGTGAGAAGCGCTGAAATCCGCACAATAGACGTGAAGACGGGTCATATTAAATAAAATTAAAGAAGAAGAAAAGAACTTATCCTCCATGTCTGGATCCTTTCATGTCCACCAATTCTACAGAATTACTTTGACCGCTTCAAGCGATTGGAAAATAAAGAGCACTCAACTACTTGGTCAAAAACTGAATTTTATATATCGCTGGCAGGCGGACTGATCTTCATTTTCGATGAGCTGCTCCTATAGAGTGAACCGATAGAATCTCTTATGCTACTGGACGATAAAGAGACCGAAGAAAATGCACCGGAAGATAGGGCAACGACGACGATGATATGCAAGAGTGAAGAAGGGAAAAGTACATTAAAAGATAGCGCTCGCCAAATACTGTCTGCAAGATTTCATCGCATACGCTGTTCATAAAGCTTCACTGTCATTCCACATATTTCCATATTCATTAATATCATAACTAATTAAGTCAAGATTTGGCACTTAAATGCGACGACACGAAGAAAATTCTACACCTCCCTGTGGCACTTAAGACAATCTGTATTTCTAGAGTTTATAATCGTCCGCTTCTTTCCATGTTGTCCCCCTCATTTTTCATGTATGTTACACCTATTTCGACCCTATTGATGCTCCGTTTTCCTTCACCATCCAAGAAGAATTTGCTTCTCTCCAGGTTGTAACAAAGGTACCCGTCCCCACTCATTACTATAGAAAATTTCACAGATCAAAAATTGAACTTCACAGCCTCAAACCACGTCTACCGAAGGCGAATTCAGCTTTACCGTCGAGAAACTACTCGTAAAAGTGGTGAAATAGTTGGAGACACTAAGGAACGTGACGATAGTAAGAAAGAAGAGGAAATTCTAATGGAATTTACAACATGATGGAAGAGACAAGTTTTTCAAAATCAGTCCACTTAATGATCTTATCAACAGGAATTACAAGAAAGAGTAGATGCCGGATAAAGTGTGCATTGAGGAGCCACTCAAAAGTGTTTAGAAAGGATAGTAGGCCTCCACCAATATACCCCAAATGGGCGCAGCACCCAGTTACTGCAACTCTAAACAAAAGAGTGTCACACACATAACTGAATACCAGAAAATGTCGGAAAAAGAGCTTGGTCGCAAGTTGATTAACATATTGTGAGGAGAATATAATCCCAGATTGTAGACCACACATTAGAAGTAATTTAGGAACACCTACCGAGAAAAACAGACCACCGTAACGCAAGTATTCGTGGGAGTAGACTCCTCGGTTCGAGAATTATAGAATGCCGTAAGCACAGTAATGCTTTGTAGTACTAAAAAAAACCTAGAAAAAAGCATCCTGTCATATCAAAAACAAGAAAAACTCACGTCGCCGTTCAGAAAAAAGCACGCAGCCAGTCTGAGTGGTAGCTCTGCATATGTATGTTTCTTCGTACTCTCTCTTACTTTAGGTTCTAATTTGTCCCTCCAAAGCATATAGCTCTTCTAAAAAGGTATAATTTTCGCATGGAAGTAAGAATGTGTAAAACTACATGAGGAAACCAACGATCAGACTCTTGTATATATCCTCTCTCGAGCTACTAACAGAGGCAAACTTCGAAATCACAGCCAGGTATTTCGGACTAGATGTAGGCTCGCAAACATTTTCGTAGGTGAACTCACTCTTCATTGTGACGAAAACCTTAAGAATATGTGTAATTATACTACATCCCTCATAGTTCCATACATTTTGAAAATGGTTTCCAATATTCAGTCGTATGAAATTTACTATGCTAACACTTTAACTTAACAAAACAAACCGCGATGTGCACTGAAATCAATTCTTAGGACACACTTTCACCTTCAGAAAATGACTACGCCTCCCTATTATCACTCCCTCTTCATAATCTGGCTCATGGACCTATTGTTACGCAGACTTCTATAGCCTTTTATATTGTACGTACCTTCATGTTCCCTTATATAACTCTTTTGCAGTTTTATTTTAATTTAGTTTACACGACAAACACTACACGTGCGTACGCAAAAAGTTGCATTCTATTTGACCCCTCGCATCGGTAACTCATGAAACTTCTCGGACTTATATGTTCTGCTTTAAGAATTTTGGTATTCTTCATGAATATCGTTGGGTGCTGATCGGGTTGATCGTTCTTCGAATCCTGGGTTAGCCATACTAGAGTGTTCAAAGGTCCTGGTTACAAGCAGGTGCCTTCTTTTCGTTGGGGATCGAAGGCGCTATTACCCTTTCCGGGGGCGAACGCGTTTACCACCACATCATGTGTGCCCTTAGTTTCGCATTTCTCTCAGTTAATTGTCTATATAATATTTCTACCAACAGAACTTGTAAACTGTTGATTTTGCAGAAACGCAACTGTTTTAGTTATTGCCAATAATATGTAAAAAGTGTTAGCTGTAATAACACTAGATAGTAAGGAAATGTTTGGAGAACGTTTCCAACAATGTTGATACGTTTCCAGAATAAGATTGGAGAATATAGCCACTTTACATAATGCATTGTGAACACGTTTATCGTTCTCTATTTCACAAAAATCGCTATGCGAACTTCTACAGTGAATTACTTCCTTATAGTGGCGATAAAGGAACGTGTGGCGCAGTGGCCGGAGCGCCCTGCAGTCCACACAAACGTGGGATCGATCCCCGTGTCACTGGCTCACCAAGACCTCCATCCCTCTGGGGTCCTCAGATTGGTAACAGACTTGTCTGGGAGGATAGCAGCACTGGCTCAACAAATCGGCAGGCCAACGCTAGTCATTGTAAAGGCCAGATATGGATTCAATCACCTCCAAACGATGCTTAATGAAGTCGACTGCACGGCGCATTCCTCAGAGATTGACTAACGCCGAGAGCTTCCTTTTTTTATAGTGGCGATAAAATGTCCTTGAGGTCTAAACTTCATTGTGCAAGTGCAGCACAAAAGTTGGTATTCAGCCACGGGAATCAAATCAAGGGATCAAACTACAAAAAAATTTTTTTTTGTAAATTACTATGTGTGAAGGATGGTGTTTGATGGAGGACCACGCTTGGCAGATTAACTATCAACTGAAAATTGGAGCAAAACAAAAACTTTGCGGTAAAATAAACAGCAAAGAAGAATGAGCATTGAAATCAATGTGCACAGCTCGCTATCGCTCACGTATATTAATGCTAATAGCGATGGTCACTTATTTGCTAAGGGAAAACAAAGATTTAATCCTTTGCTCACAAAACCTTAACATGGCTCAAAAATAAGAATTAGGTCATAGTCCACGTCGAATGACTCGACTAGCCACAAGCCAATTTTCCATTCGGCCTTGGTTCTAAAATCAGGTTGTCTGGATTTAGCGGCATCCTTCCTTTCTGAGAAAAGAATGATCTTGCACAAACCAAAGGATGGTCTGATCCCATCATGGGGTAAGCCTTAAAAGCGGTAAGAGAAAACCTTCCACTTATACGATATGGTCTACTTTGTCACAACACTCCTTCTGATACAAATCTAACGTTGAGAGGTTTCTTTTTTAGTGTAGCATGGTCTTGGTCATTATGGTACAGTGTGAGTCCCGACATGAAATTCTTCGGACGTTCCCCTTGCACCAATATTGGCGCTGAAATCTGCAATGAGCACTCATAGATCAACAAATGTTATATTTCGTCTTCGTCATAGTTTAATATCGAAGTGTAGGTGAGCACTGCGAAAATCAGAAATGGTGAAAATATTGTGAACCGTAATGGTCTGATTTCGGTTGTCATTCAAAGGAAATGATGCTAACCTAAGGTGTCGATGAGAATATGAACTACTCTTACTTATAATGGAAAGACGTTTCACTGATAGCGACTCTTCCTTTGGTCCCGTGAATTCACGTTGTACTCAGTGTAAGTTTGTATCAACAGACACTCAATGGGGTGCTAGTATGCGAGCGTTGCACCTACAGATGATCACTGTACACATGCCTTTGGCGAAAAACATTTCCAGACAGTTTGTTCGGGTTACTTCAGAATAGATGTGGACCATATTTGTCGATGGCCTAAGAGAACCTCTTATCCAGTTCGCGTTATCCTGATTGCAGGCTTTCGGATTAGTCGATGACACGATAGGAAGTCATTTTTGCGTCATTTTTAGCCGATGTACCTGCCATTTAGAGACGTAAAACGAAGTGTTGCCATCGACCGATTATAAACTATTCACGGAGAAATTTCTTTAAACGAATTCAAGTAACTGCGAAAATGAACTCATGTCATGTCCAGCTCTCGTTGGTCAATTGTTGTTAGCTGGTGTTTGTTTCTGTCGCTGTCACGTATAACACGATTTCTTCCCCTATCCTACTCAAGGCTACGGGGCTTTAATGCACGTATAATCAGTTATGCAGAGTCAAGACAACGTACTTGAGTGGTCGGGAAAGTGCTGATTCACGTCATAGTGCAAAAGGCAAAAGGGCTATGCGCGCTTCACTACTTAGTTACATTGAAGCGTGATGTTCCCAGACGATGTTGGAATCAACAGGAAGATTTAATGCATTCGATCGACAACAACGTAACTCTGAACATCGTCAAGTAGACAGAGAAAAACAAGAAGTTAGGAACGCTATCGATATTTACAAGGAAGTATCACCATATTAAATCTTATGGGATTTGATTGGAAATTAAAGAGATAAAAAATTCTTCTGCAAGAGAACGTTACCTCTTCCTGAATTGCGACAATGTCCCTGATGTAGGAATCCAAATATTCCCAACAGCTATTGTAAAGGACTCGTTTATCAATGGTAGGCCTTTGCTCGGACATTTGTACACTGAAATCCTGAGCACTGTCAAAAACATTGGAAAACGATGTGTCAACGACCATTCACGCCCCGGAATAGAAAGTGAAGTCACCTCTTATTACATAAACAGCGGATGGATTGGTTAAATTATGGCTCAAACAGAAAAAAATAGGGACATATTTCAGGGTTGAGCTATAGGAAGTCATAGATGACCATACTTATGCTAAGAATATAGAGAAACTCAGTGAAAGCAAATATCGTGTACTAGAAACGAGATCTAAAAATAACGCCCGTTCTTACAAACATGAAACTTCAAGACGACAGGAAACGTCTGAAACCTGCTACTACTACTACTACTAGTACTAATAAGCAAATGGATACAATTGTGTGGAAGTAACCCTATTCACCACACGTGAACGCTTACCGCCTTCCCGGAAACGAACCGATGCCTCCCGGCTGCCAAGTGCATCCGAACTGGCCGCACAGCGCTGGACTGTCTTTAACTTCCCGCCTTTTGTCGACCTGTGAGAGGACTCGACCAGCGAGACAACTCGGCCTGCGAATCGTCGCTCGTTCAGGCGATTGTTGGCTGGCAGTGAAGCGTCGCTGCAGAAGTAGGTCTTCATGCTTCGACTAATCGCTGGAAGGCGTGGAGTTCTGTACCACCTTCGGACTGTCTTTCAACTACACTGGAATGTGTTCTAATGGTTCGGGTTCTGCTTGAATCCTCGGCATTTCTCCTACTGCTTGGATATGGTCTGGTGGTTGTTACATGTGTCGTCAAAAACTGCGTACAGAGTGTATCTTACAGACTACGTCTGTTACTCGCCGCTTCGAGGAGCGGGCGTTGTCCCTCTACCGCGTTTATTTGATGGGAATTTATACCTCATGGAAAATATTCTCTCTCTCTACTTTTTTTTCTTTCATTCTTTCTTTATCTCTCTCTCTTTCTTCTTCTCCTGCAATTACACAGCCGCCGTAATGGTTAGATACTGAACTACGTGGTATCACCACTCATGTATTACGAAATATTCGGCCTTACTCGAACGGGAGAAATTCGACCTGAGTCATGTCTACTACCAATTGATAGTGCAGTATTTTGATCATCGCTTGTAGTTTTATCATCATCACTTTCGTCAAGTTCGCAATTCGTCAAATTCTTTGGTAACCATGAAGTTATCGACGGCTTTTCGAAAAACTAACATCGTCACGAATATACTAAGATCTGATTTCTAGTTGCTGATCTCTGTAGAACCACTCTTCATGTTTGCCTAGTCAGTGATAATGGAGGATGCTGCAGGTTTCCAAAACTCTGGCTTTTCATCCACGAAACCTCTGGATTTCAACGAGCGTTTCAAGAAACTTCATCGCTTAAGGGTTTGTTCACAGATACCAACTAATTGTAATTCCAAAGCCTAGGTTTCATGAGTTCATCACACTTATTCAGCAACAATCTCGGAAGGCGAATCATGAGCAAGTTGTTGAGGAAGACAGAAAGGCGAAATTACCAGCCAATTATGAAGCGAAAAGAACTCGAGAGCAGTGGGAATTGCAGGAAATGGAAGAAAGAAAGGTGACGGTTCATTTCAGGTTGACTTCCACCTATTCGCACTGAAATTATAGCTCATTATATTAACCCTTTTATTTGCTACCTTTTTCTTTTTAATGGCAGGGTATATCGCGAAATATAACTCATATATAATGCTGAGATATTTGCAAAACTCCGGACCGCAGGTGTATGCGGTGGGGAACGAACGCGCGTTATTGTCCTTTCCGGGGAGTAGTGCACTTCACCGCCACACCATCCGGGTCCTTCGTTTTGCCTGTCTCCCAGCTAGTTCTATTGATCTTTTGCCATCAGCAATCACCCGTGAACGGGATTGATCTGGGGAGCCCAAATCGGCATTGAACCCAGTTAAGCTGAGACTGAGTTATAATCATACTGCCCGGAAAGGACAATAGCGCGTTCGTTCCCCACCGCATAGACCTGTGGTCCGGAGTTTTACAAATATCTCAGCATTATATACGAGTTATAGCTCATTATGTCCGGTTGTTCTGTAAAGTGTCTTTGGAAGTTTTGCTTTTTGTATACCCAAAATTTATTTGGAAGTGTAGTTAGTTCAGCTACTGTGACTTTGTGGTCTTAAAAATCTGTGTTATCAGTTCTAGTAATAAATGATCTGTAATCCTTGATCTTATGTATCTACGTAATCTAACTGAGGGAAAGGCGAAACGAAGAATCCGCATGGTGTGGTGGTGAACACTTTAGCACCCGGAAAGGGTAATAGCGGGTTCGATTCCTACCGTATACACCTGCGGTCCGGAGTTTTGCAAATGTCTCGGCACAATGTGGTTGTATGTCATGTCGTACCATGCCATGAAAAAAGAATGGGCAGTAAATAAAAGTTGACTGCTCTATGATTATTGCTATAACACCGAACATTGTTAGAGTTCACCGGATTTAAAATGAAACGCTCTAACCTTTTTTGGTCGACCGTGAACGCGATCTTCAACTTCGTTCACATGAAAGCAGTCTTGTAATTCTTAGACAGTCAATGCATCCCTAGTATAGTTCGGCGAAAAACCAAACAAAGCCAGGGTCGTCGACGTAAAGTGACGTTTGGTGAAGTGCTTTCTCGCTTGAGCTCTAGCGTCACTGTCGCCAACGACAAGCGAGAAATGAATTTGAAAGGCGTAAATGAAATCCAATTGTACAACGCCATGTTTACTTCAGTGATGATAAAAACTTCGTAATATCAGAGTTATCCAAACATAACGGTTGTTGGCCGATTTACACAGCCTCTGCGAAAAGACGTATTTCTATCCAGCAAATGAAGTATTTAAATGCTGCAGCTATGTATAACGTTAGGTTTTATTGTAGTTCTAGGGCACGTGTAGCACGGTGTTTGGATGCGCCCTGCAATACACATGTCATCGATCCCCGCGCCTCAGGCCCACAAAGCCTTCTATCCCTCCAAGGTCGGCAGATTGATACCAAACATGTCTGGGAGAGTAGCAACACTGGAACGATACATCGGTAGGCCACCCGAGTCATTGTAAAGGTCATATATGCATTCAGTCACCTCCAGTGATGCTCAGTGAAGTCGAATGCATGGAGCATACCTCAGGGATTGATCAGGGCCGAGCGCTTTATCCTTTATAATGTTCCTTTGACTAAAGTTTGCTTCAAATGTAGTTCTTGTGGCATTGCTAATAGGACTTATGAGTAACTGTAGTATTCTTAAAGGTTACAAAAGAAATATTTCCAGAAAGCAGATGAAGAAGGTATCGATTACGAACGATTGAAAGCACTCAATACCTCTGCTGATGTGGCGGCAAGAATTGAAATGAGAAAAAAGCGGAAGAAGAATCCTGACCAAGGATTCTCAAGTACGTGCATTTGGAAGCTTCTTCTTTGCACCATTACTATATTTCGTTATGTGAAGATTTACAAGATGTTCTTTCTCTTAAAATAGATATCATTGCATTGTATTATAAATTGAGATGAAAAACTGATGTTTGTGTCAAAATATTTAGTTCGGTTTTAGATGACTATTTTCTGTGTTCAGGCTATGAGGACATGACACTTCGTCAACATTCTCGTCTGACGACCGCCATCAAGCCTAATAGTAAATCATACAAGAAAATGCGTGATATAGTGTTGGTCATATTTCCACTTTATATTTATAGTTATAGTCATCTAGTTGGTCGAAGTCGTTAGGTAAGGTAGTGAAGTGTTTATAGAATTTGGTTTTATTAAGTGGTGAGGATCAGTTCTATCCTACAGCGAATACATTGATTCATGGTGCACATTATCCCACATCAGCAGCAATGGAGAAACTTGCTGAGGATGTTAAAGGACAGTACGTAGTTTCTAGCAGTTCTTTTTTCAAACAAGCATATAAATCAAATTGGTCTAGAAATCATTTATGTATCTTCTTGTGTTATGTCAAGTGTAACCATTCGTTTACCATAGGGCAAAACGTCGTGAACAGTTCCATCGTCGGCGTTTGTTCGATCCTGATGCACCCATCGACTATATTAATGATAAGAATATGCGATTTAATAAGAAACTGGAAAAGTTCTACGGCCAGTACACAGAGGATATCAAGGTATTGCGTGTGTTCAATATCCTTATGCTGGGCACTCAGAAACACTGGGTTGTGCCTCAATCCTCCGTACGACTGTCATCGGAACAGTGAAAGTAGAACACTAAAATGAGGACTGATTGTGTAATAAGAACAACATGTAATACTGTTAGCGCATGTTTATTTCGTGGTCTTTAGATATACACGCGATAGTAAGTCGACCTAGGTATGTTAAGATCTATTATTAGAAGGGAGAGAGCTATCTTGTTTTTTCCTTTTTTTTTTTACTGTGACAGTTCATAAGTTTAAAGCTTTTGTTTAGGAGGACCTCGAGCGTGGCACAGCTATTTGATGGGATCTTTTCTGCTATCTGTTCATTCAGTTATGTTCTTTTATGGCGTTTATGAGTTTTCGAAACAAGTATACGCAATAGAATAAGAGTTCTTGATAGAACCACAATGAAAGAACTGCTCTTTTAACATGTTATTCAATAAATAGACCAAGTATGTAAGAGCAACACTGTCACTCCAAGAAAGTGGATTTGAATTCTTTTTTAGAGACTGTATGTTAAAGCCGCAATTCCCGCTGGAATTGTAGCGTAAAGATTGTGAATAAACAAAGAACCACAATGTTTAGTTTTTAAAATGAAATAGATGGGTGTTATTGAATAAATGTTGGAATGATGGAACACAGGCGAAACGAAGGCGTTTTAAATTTAAAGGAATCCTTGGTGTCTGTGAGTTTGGATAGGGATAAACATACGAATATGGCCAATAAATGAGACTGGTTGTCTCAAGCTTAAACTCAAGTAGGTGTAACCGTTATGCTCCTTCGATCTGTTAATGTGACAACAAAAAATCGACGCCAATGTTACTGGTGTGTATTGGGAAACGTTCTACGTCTTTGTAGAGTGATTTTAAGTTGTTCTTAAAGCGTCGTTTACTTGTTCAGCATTCGCGAGGTTTTTAAACAGCATACATTTACTTCCATAGAAAAACACAATCCGATACAACGCTAGCTGACGTTTCGGCAGTATCGCCTTCTTCAGAGCCTGGAAGGGTATACTGATATGCAATCTACTAGGCCAAACGCTTCAATAACACAAAAAGAACAACTCTGGTAATTACATGATCAACAACTTCTTGAAGAACCCACCGCTTTTTCGTGACTTCCAATGAGGAAGGTTAGCACAGGTGATTATAGTCCCATATGGTTGATGACTGCACCATCCCACATCAGAAATTGATGCGAACATACGGGGTCAGGTCGCGTATGACCTCCGGACATTCGTCCCTGCTATTCATTGTAGGGTTTTTGGCATTTATCCAAAAAGCCTCAAGAAGTTTTCGCGCTGGTGTTTTGGACTCCTGTGCAAGGGTATTGAGTTTTACTTCAAAACCGTCTCCGCTATGCTTTTGTATCCTATGCGTGCCTAGTGGGGTGCTTAGTCTTAGTTTTCGTTTGCCATCTAGGTGTTCTTTTATACGGATACACAAAGGTCTGCCCGTTTCGCCAATATATTCATCTCCGCAATTATTACAAGAGATCAGGTATATCGTACCTGAACTCATGCAATCACCGTCCCTGCCGTAAGGGCAAATTACGCATTTTGTTGTTTCACATAGACGGTCATGTTGTTCTTAATGTTCTGGTGTAATCTATATTGGCTGCCATTATCGTCTAAGTAGGCATAACATTTGGAACAAAAGTGGTTTCCTAATGACGTATTATCCACGACGTAAGTTCAAATTCATATTTATTCATTACATTACCATATGACCCTTCCTGGTTGTTGAGACATAATGTATACTGTTTGTGTTTATCCCTTCAGGCAAACGCCCAAATAAGGGTAAGCTAGTACGAGGAATTACCGCCATCCCGGTAGTCACAAGATGGCAAATATCCCTCTGATCCACAGTGGCAGGCGAGTGCGTATGATAGTGACGATCTGAGGAATGTTTCGGGTGGGCTAACCTTGGTATTCCACGGAACCACAGTTTGTTAGCTAGGAAAACTCCAGCCTCAGTACCATGAGACACTGGGCCCTCCGGCCATGATGTTGGACGGTGAGGCAACCGGTGAGGTACGATCAAATCTCAGGCTGCAATGAATATCATTGAAAACCGACAAAACCATCACGCCCACGACATACCATAGTGATTGCATGGCCTCCTCAGACGTCGACTTGCACGCTTGTCTTGAGGCTGATGAATGCATCAAATTCCATGTGATCACCCCACAAGAGAGGAGAAACTGGGAGACTGATATACGCCAACTGAATGACGGAACTCTTGTACTCCGTGAGGAAATCTCCGTTAAGAAATGTTGGATGCGTTGGCTTTGTTGCACACCCATCTATTTTCCGTCTATTCACGATTCCTCTCACTGCACTTGATCATTCTCCTTCCGTCGGCAATTTGCGCGTCAGAAGTCCGAATCATCAACTGCTGCTCACCAACTTGCACAGCTAATGAGAGTGAAATGGAAGCTTTCTATGCCAGTTGTAGAAAATCATTTTAGGAACGTTTACGTTAGTATAGGCAGGAAAAGTTATTGAAAACAGTTCAAAAACGATCCATTCTGAAGAAGTGCCGTCGGGATCTGTGCGACTACATTGCTCCGCTATCCGCTTTGGTGAAGGAAGATGGAACTATCTCTACATTCCGCCATGATATGGAATTGATAACGGAAAAGTTCTATACCAGTCTTTTTCGTGCCACAATCCCCGTCTTGATTCCCAAACCCTTGCTGCAGAAAAACCGTAGAGAATCCTATCCTTCGAAGTTCGAGTTGTGACAGAAAGCATGAAGAGAGGAGAGAGACAGCTCCAGGACACGTCAATCTCCTCGCGAGTTCTTTCGAGGTGGATGCCACAAATTAGACGTACTTCTCGCAATTTATGTGACATCTTAATTTCAGAAGGAAAAAATAGCAGACAAGTGGAGGTCGCCCATGGTTATCCTGCCCAAAAAAGATGATCGAAGGGTTCTTCCTAACTACCGTCCAATATACTTGTTGAGTGTACTCTAGAAGCTGCTCACGAAGATTATCCCTTTGCGCATATCAGAGACCTTGGATGAGGCACAAAAAAGTGAGCAAGCAGGATTCCGATGGTGTTCCTACTGCAAGGACTACATGCAAACCATGTCACGAATCGTAGAAGTCTGTGATGAGTATCATTTGCTTTTTGTTCTAACCTTTATCGACTACGGAAAAGCGTTTGTCAACAAGGAGTGGACCCTTGTATGCGAACAGTAAATGATTGTTGTTGGAATCGCACCACAAAAATACTGCTTTTCTATCGACCCCTTGCCGCACCCGTAGGACAAAGAGCTCGATAAGCTCATTCCTATTGCGAAAGCGTTCTCGCTATCGCCATTCACATTCTTGCACTGTGAGTATGTAAATCTTAACTACTTTACAATCGTAGCAATATTAATGCACAATCAGTGTTAGCTAATCACTCATATCCTCCTTTATGCTATATAGAATCCTTATGCTGCTTATTGAGGGGAAGGTAAAGCATAGGGGACTAGGTACAGATGATAGAGCTACTTAGCCTTAGGTTGAGGGAGTGCAGCGGTGTGTAAGTGTGACGGAGAGCACACTAGCGCCATAAGAAGAGGTCAGCCAGAGATGAGAGAGCAATTCCGTCTGTGAAGTGCTATGATATATAAATAAGATGAGGAATACAATAGTGCCGTAGAATAGGTTAGCACTTGCGAAATGGTGATAACAACGTGATGAGGATATGAGTGATTAGCTAACACCGATTGTCTAAGAATATTGCTACGATTATGAAGGAGTTAAGATTTACATGCTCACATTGCAAGAATTTGAATGACGATAGCGAGAATGTTTTAATGAAGAATTATTGGGTAGAGTACCTGTGAGCGAGGAAAGTATTCACCAAAATAACAACACGCAGTAATTACAAGAGAATCTGTGACAACACTAATGCATTGGAAATACAAGAGCTAGAGGTTTTAGTTGACATTATTTGTGCCTAGGTGGATCGAAGGAGCTGTGAATGAAAGGATTGTGTGAGAGAGCAAGTAATAATGAGGAAAGGTCAAGGGTGAGCTCCAAGACGTCGACAGAAGCCAAATGACGGTGCTAGTGGGCGTGGCTAGGTCCAAGTGGTTAGCGTTGATCGCAAAGTCTAGTCCTTGAGCAATGCGTCTGTCCCTGGTAACATCACTGGTGGTGTGCCTGATGACTACAAGATGCTGTGTCTAGTCGCGTGTCCGGTGTCTAAGAAGGGATGTGGATGTAGAACACGCACGCGGGCGTGGTGACAAATGCAGTCACTATTGGCTTATAGAATGAGTTTCTTAGGTAGATAGAAAATTCACTATTTGATAGAGGAATTCTCTATAATGCATATGTATGTGTATACATATACACATAAAAAAAGCTCTAGGCGTTGATCTATCCCTGAGGAAAGCAACATGCATTCGACTTCATTACGCATCGTTAGAAGTGATTGAGTGTATATCTGGCCTTTACAATAGCTCTACCGATATATTAAACCAGTGCTGCTATCCTCCCAGACAAGTCTCTTACCAATTTCCCGACCTCGTAAGGACATAGGGCTCGGTGAGCCTGGAGCGCGGGGCCGATCCCATGTGTATTACGGGGCGCCTTCGACCACTGCGCTACACTCACTCCTTATAAAACGATAAAGTGGAGGAGTAACGTCACGATGAATGTTGTCCTTCGAATATTCTTAAACAGTAGCTGGTTAATCACTTCATCGAGTAGATGAAGAAGCATAACTGGATTGATCTAGGGAGCACAAACCGGCATCGATCCCAGTTAAACTGGAGCTGTAGTTTAAGTCACAACATACCCTGCCGTGAAAAAAGAAGGGGGAGTAAATAAAAAGCGATTAAATTGCGATTGCCGTTAAATGGAGTTTGAAAGTGATTACTGAAAATTAAACAACGAATGGGTCAAAATGGCAAGCGCAGCAGAAAACCATGTGAGTTAGTATCCACCGATGCTCTTGCACTTATCGATCCATCATTATTCGAGGTTAGACCTATCATTAACTGTGTAAACGGGCCAACGGATGAAATAACATGGTTTTTAACCCCAATATTTACACAGTTGCTGAAACACAACCCAGCCCTTCTCACGAATACGCAAATGTTCCTGAATCGCTTACGCAGTGCACGTGCCAACAGCAAGTACGTTATGCTGTCCTTTGGCGTTACTGCCTTGAATACCCGTGTCGAACGACTCCCTCACGCTTGCCATCCTTGATAACACGAAGGAGCAATAAACTTATGTAGTTTCTTTATTTAGTAGTTCATGGTCCTCCTAAAGGTGTACCTAAACTGGTCGATCTTCAGATGGCCCGGGAGTATCACGCACAAATGAGAGAGTTGGCGGTGGAACGGCGACTGACATTAGGCCTGGCCATTGCATTAGGCCAAGGTAGAAGCAACAATAAGCGATCTCGGACCACATATAGATAATTGCTGTCATTTGCTCGACAAAACAGAGGATGTACAAACGTCCTGAGTTATTCATTGGACGTTTAGAGTAGATCAGGTCTACCCAACAGAAACCGAACGACATTGTCTCCATTTCTAAATCAAATGGTATCGAAAGTACAGTAAGAACATAGAGGTCCATTATTTCTTCTCTTATCTTTAACACACAAAAAGGACGCTTGTTATGCAAAAGTTTCGGACAGCCACCAGTGTCTGTACAGGAAGGAAGCAGGAGGAATCTCTGAAACTGGCACGGTAAATAGCCATTTCGAATGGCTAGGAAACTGTAGCTGCTCGGGATAGGTGTAGGGGAAAAACCACGCTCCGAAAAGGAAGTTCTAGCGACAATAAGCATCCGTTTATCCTCCTTTTATTGCGAACGGAATAAGTCCGGTTATTACATAAATACCACCACACACTCTAAGACGCCTGCTAGTTGGCAGCCACCTGTATTACCGTCTATGTACTATACAAAATTATGTAATATGCATTCACGATAGAGACGGTTATTGTATGAGGTGGAGAGACGAACACGGTGACCAAAAGGGTACACCACACCGCATACGTATGAAGGAATACCTACTCTGCAAGTTTAAAGTTGAGCCAAACATTCCACTAAAGCGCATAGGATGGAGAATCAAAACGGGTAGAAATTTAGAGTACAAATTACCATCCTCGCACAGTGACCATTTACTGAGCCATGGTTTACCAAGGATGTGACATTTCCAATCGGTGATAGATGCATGATAGGCTGTTCTCTCTACGCCATTCGTTCCTCATGAAATCAGGTTGTATTCCAACTACTCCATTCTCCCACAATTCTCGTTGCTTCATTGAGATCGTTCAGCGTTGTCTCTGCTTCTATCTTAGTGCTCTGAAATACCACAATCCCTTCGGCACAACAAAACTTGTGGAAGAGCCGTCCACCCACGCCTACTCCTTCGTGGTCTCGATCGGATAAGTGCAGTCACCGCAGCTGTGTGAATCTGTATCGTCGTTGCACAATTACCGCTGCAACCAACAAATGTTCTACACAGGGTAAGAGTTGAATTGACTTGAGCTCACCTTGAATAGCAAGGCAGTGAAATGTCAATGTAATATCGTTACAATCAACCTATGAATTTCTTTACCGAGAACACGAATTCTAAAAAAAGTGTTTTCTAAACTCCAAAAGAACTCGTATCATTTAAGTCCAAGCATACTATAAAAGAGGACAGAAAACACTGAAAATGCTGAGTTACCTTCATTGGAGTTTCAGATTTCAGATTAGAAATAAAGCATTCTAGGAACGTCGCAAAGTGTGACATTACTGGTTACAGCACGGGTATAAATAGGCATACGAAATGCATACGATATATGCACAACGAAAATAAAACTATACACGTACATAAAGAGAACACCGTTGTAGAAAAGCTTATATCATAAATTTTAATACAATATTTTGTGCATGATATGTCATGGTTTAATAGATCATCGGTGATTACAATGTGAGCTAGTCCTCTGCCAGACTGCACCGTAAAAATATTTCACCAAAATTAATGAATATGATCATGGTGATGTCTGTGATGCCCATAATTAGCTCCACGGGGTACTGCAAGCGATGAACCGTTCTCCAAGGAATGCGAAAAATCGGAATGGTCATGGTTGTCTATCAATCGAAGTAGCCCTATGAGTGAAAATCCCACTAGCATGACTAACAGTTTAAGTAAATTGGGGTGTTCATTGTCCCTTTCGTGAAGTAATACCTAAAGAAACAAGTGGTGGTTTAAGAAAGGTATAAAGAAACCCATGTAAGTCTCGAACCTCAAAAAATGTGACATAGAGGAAGGTCCCGACTGCAAGACCTTGAAGAATAGTGATAGCAACATCCTTGCTGAAACTGTTTGCCGCAGCAGATTGAACGACCATTCCAACCACTGCGCCTAACGGAGACATTAGCGCCAGTATGAAAACCGACGCTACCACCTAAACCAGCAATATAGGGATGGTTTCATTAAAAATGGAAAGATTAGTCGATTTCGCAATTTGTTTATATTTTACATGACTATGAATTGTAGAGTTCTTGCCGTGACGATGTATGAAATAGTCAGTAAAACGCTTTAAAATATACCCAGTGAAGTTGATGAGCATGTGTGCGAGCCAACTGTAGGCCTACCGAAAACGAAACTATTAACTTATGCACCAGAAGAGACAAAAACAATGCAGTGGTTTCAGAAGCGTTGTCCTAAAAATGGATTGTTTTCCCAAAGATATAACTATATTTAACTATAACTTTGCTGACAAAACTACAGCAAATCAATAGAAGTACAAGAATAGAGAGGCGAAATTCTTCACTTACGCCAACTCCAAACGCGATGCCTTCTATTACAGAGTGAATAGAGAGAGCTAAAACGAAAGTGATCGAACGCACACCGTGTGAGTGCGCATGAGGAGATGACTTCATCAGAATCGGTGGATCCTCATCAACTAAAGATAAAAACATAATAACCAATAATGGAAACAAATAAAAAACAGTAATAAATGGAGTTGATAGCCACGAGAAACCCTTTAAAAAATTATAAAGAAAACCTTCTAATGGCTGAATAAGTGCTAAACAATACCCTTTTCGCAGTTCGTTTCACATCGTTCTGGTTCTGCTACTGCGAGTGTTGTGTACACGCTGAAACTAAACATACCATCAAATCGAAGACAATGAAAGATGGGTATAGGAAATAGTGAAAGACTGAAGCTACTTATAACAGCACAAAGAGGACTGACAACAGCGCACATTTATCAGATCTTACTTTTCCGAGTTCATTCTTAAAAATTCGGTAAACAATTAAAAAACACTCCCAATGCCAGGAAGAAGGAAATGTCAGCAAGCACTCCTGTCCTTATAGCAAACTAATAACAATGCAGCAAATCTCAAAGCAGACTATGTCTACGGAAACGACTTGAGAAAGCCTCGGCTGGATTCTGGTACCAATCCACGGAAACGTCATTCAGCTCGACCAGCGACAGAATGGCCTCAACATCCATACTAAGCGCACCCGCAAACGGAACAGTGAAATAACCGGTGACAGGAGACAGATTTTGGGTTGTACATGACGTCGTTGGAACCGGATCCAACAAAATGCTCACGACAAGGAATAGAAACTGTTTCTCGACCTGCTCTTATGACATCGAAACAGTTTCCTATAACGTCGATCTTCACCTCTTTATTGACGCCGCAGATTTCATGAATATGGTCGCCCAAAAAGAAAGAAAAGCAGCAAATCGACATATACCAACTAAATGATGAAATTTTTGACCTTTTGAAAAAAAACCTAACGAGCAATGTTGGGAGCATAGTGACCGTGGCTCGACCATTTTTTAACCATTACGTCCTCAAACACAAGGCACGACCACTTCGCTTGGCTACTCTCCAGCAGTGTCTTCAGAAGATGTTTGTATAATCACCTGCATTGGTATGCAGAGAAAAAACTTTCCGAAGCACTTCAACAAGGAATGAATCTAGAAGTGTCGTCAGAACCTGTACAAACATAATGCTCCACTACAGACGAAGAAAAAATCACTATCATCTCAATAATATATTTCCACATAGTTCCACATATATCTCTTTCGTTCCATAATTCTCCTCTAGTACCCAAAAATCCTCGCTGGAGAAAATCCAACCAACTGTTCTCTACGAAGCATGAGATGAGACAGAGAACATGGACAGAGAAACAACTCCAGGACCGAAAAACATTCCAGTTACTTTGTTCACACTGGATTCCGCAAATTACAGTACTTTTCGCTACTCACAGACACCTTAACTGGAAAAAGTAAGAATTCCAGACTAATGGAAACAGTCGTTTCTTTACCGAGCACGGATCTTCACAAATAACGCCCGATCTGTATATCCTGACAAACTCTTGACAAAGATTACACTACCGCGCATATCAAGGATATATTTGCACGAGTACAACTCCTAAAACGATTATGACAGACGGACCACATGTAAATCGTATCTAGGGTTATATGTTTTTTGGAAACATCCTCCAGAGCTTCCTCGAAGATGAAGAAGCGTTTAACAGTCGAGAGAAATGCAATTTCGTCAGCGCTTATCAACCCATGAATAGGTAAATAGGTAATGAACCCAACCCTTTACTACATAAAATGTCTAGCTGACTGTTATCGTAATTGTACCACAAGAACACATCTTTTATGCCAACCTCTTAGCATACCCATAATAATAGGGTCCGAAAAGGTGACACCATATCACCAAAGCAACTCACCACCGCCTTGATGCGAACTGTAGAATCACTAGGTTAGGAAGAAATGGAAACACACACGAAAGCTCATTCGTATAAAACCTTGGTTTATTCGACAACATCATCATCCTTTTAAGAAGCTTAAGTGAAGGAATGATCATCGGTGAACGCAACAAACCAGGAAATAGATGCTTCTATGATTACAAAAACCACATTGTACGTTTCTTGGGCGTTTAGTGAACATAGAGAATAACTAATGGAAACAGTCGTTTCTTTACCAAGTACGGAATAATGAAGCAACATAGACCGCATTTTTGGATTTCAAAGAATCCCTCGACCAGACTCGAAACTCCGTGCTCACTTCTTTCGGTCAAATGTCCTTCTAGTCATCTGCTATGCAGGTGAGACTTGAGAACTACTTTTTTCTAAAATATAGCCCACATAAACAGCACCTAGAGTGAACGTATACTTAGGACGTCAACAATCTAATCCACTTTCGAGACCCAAGAGGATGTACGTTAACAGCCAAACATAGATAGGCCAGTAAAAATAACGAGGAATACTAGAGAAGGCTTGTTTGTGCTCTTTATCTGCTAAGAATAAATGGAAGTTTACGCACAAACAAATAAATACAGATAAATAAACAAGCAAATAAGTAGACAAATAAATAAATGAATAAACAGCATGCATATCCCATTAACTACAAGTAGTTCTTACCAATGCACATTACTTCCTGAACCATTAGCACTCTGCATTTTGCATATATACAGAAATGGCCATTCATGACATATAGGGTGTCGTCAGTTCCTCTATTTGTTTCGTCAACCTTACAACCGCTCCCTACAGGGATGTACGAGGGGTTCATGTGCGCGTGTTTGGGCGGCACTTGAGGACCTGCCCTTTTATCTACCCAGGTAATGTTATATCCAATGCTGCTTAACTTTTGCCTAGAATCCTTGGACGTTGTGTCTACTGGCATCCCATAAAATAGACTGAGTACTGTCGACTACTGCACTGCATCCAATTTCCACTAAAAGTGGTAATCAGGACCAGTGAGGGCTCTCTAGTGTTGCGCAATCAGTTCACTTATCTATTTAAGAACGAAGAACTCTATTAACAAGAAAAAAAATTGAAACCACACTAAGAGGACAAAAATTTCATAGACAATAAAACATGTGAGCCACATTTGGCTTGCACTGTCATTATGTTAATAGGAAGAAAAATGCGGAATGAACTCTATCCCGAAATGTTCCAACAAAGGTTCGTCCACGTTAAATTGGAGGAAATTTGAAGAACCGCAAACGTAAGGACACTAACCAGCACCTCAGGTGACCACATATGGTATCACTGCCACACTAGGTGATCGGAAATATATACACTACATATATGCACACACATGCAAGCACATATAGATATATATATATATACATGTACATGTATATATACATATATTACATCGTATATGCATATACATATATATGTACACATATGCACCCTGAACTAGATTTCCAATTGCAACTGCTTTCAGAAGTGATACAGTTTTGATTTCCAGTGGCATCTATTTTGATACTACCATATAAACGATGTTGAAGCCCACTTGATCTAGAATAGAAAATACTGTTCAGACATATTACAATAAAGAAAAAAGTTTGAAATATTCGTAATGATAAACACTTCCTCTCCGCCAAAGTTCGATAAATATAGAATTCGACTTAACAGAGAGCCGACTCACTCGCTCACAGCCGTGCACTGGGGCTCCTTATGATCAGTGCTTTTCTTGACGCGATGTACAGTCAATGGGCAGTGTTTCTGACAATGTCCATCGACGTTCTCGTCATCTGATGTGACGCCTTTTACATGATCCGTTGTATAAGTAGAGTGGACTTCTACTGAATTCAGCGCATGAAAGTAATGTCGTCGAAATACTGTGACTTTATGTATTTGCCTCACAGATGGATGCTTTCAAAAAAGGATGGCAAAGAAATGTACTTACATGGACGTTCATTGCGAGACGAGGACTGCGCTGGGACGTAGCTATCAATCATACAGCAGGTGCTGTCCTGCGCTGCCAGAGGAGAACTTGAATGAAACAGAACTTAGATTTGTCAAATTAATGCTATAAAACAACTTGACAGGACCTTTCTCCCAAGTCGTGCGCATGAATATGTTTGCCGTGTGAGTGTGAATGTGCTAAGGATGGTATTGCCACGATCACCACCTGCAACAATATCAGACGGATTCCTGCGCAATTAAAAACAGAATCTGACGAAAAAGACAATACCTCTTCAAGAAAGAATAGTAGAAAAAAACCAAGACAGCTAAGCAGCTCTGCAACTGGATAGTCAATATAGAAATCGTAGACCTAAACTGCTTTAAATACTTCCAAATAACGAAAAAACAACATTTCAGGAGAAACTTCACAGTACCTCGTCCAATTTTCCTACATTCTCAACCAGTTCTGGAAAGAGGTGTAGGAAGCAAGTCGCGAGAAACACTCCTAAATTAAACGGGACAAACCTGAAGTACCATGCAATGACGATAAAACCAACGGTAACCAGCTATGTAGCCAACCTCCTGAAAAACATGTGAGCAGACACAGGATAAGGGACACGTGTTTGTGCTGCTTCGACGAGGACGCGCGGGCGGCACTGTGCCGAAGATAGCGCAAAACCTGAAGATCCAACGAATATGGAAACAGTCAGAATACAGTTCAAAAACTTACTTTCAACGGAGAAAGGCCTGCGAAAAGTGTTGAGCATATCATAACGGACAAAAGAACCAATTTCAGAGTGTTCAAGTTCATTATACCGGTTTGTATTCAACACCTGAATCGACACAATGTTTACAAAAGAGTATGACGAAACTCTACTTTGAAACCTAAATGAGTATACATACATATACACAATACACAATATGGCACAATATACAGTATGGTACAGTATATACTTACGTATACACATATTTACGTATATGTACAGAACATACATATACCTCCACATATGTATACATATATATCGATAAAAACGAGAGAGAACACAGAGAGGTACGTTGACCCGATGAAATTCTTCCATACGCTAGAACTAAATTGTAGTAGTATACAGAGTACTGGTAAATTCGGAGTTAGTACGTTTAATGGCAAGGATATAACTGAGATTTACAGCAAACTTCATAATGCACAGGATGAAAAGAATAGGCAATGGCACAATCCATTCACGACCTTCTTCGATAACTTCTGATGAACACTAGACAAAGAGAGCGGTTGAGATTATGGCGACTCTAAAACCGTATAGAAGAGAACTCACTCAAGCGGTCTGAGTTCTTAAATACAATTGTTTCGGTGCTAATTCGTTCTCAAAAACTATATATTTGATCACAATGAAGTATTAACCACAGAGCTCTTTCTTGGGTTAGGCTAGTGCCCTCAAACTTAAAACCATTTTGCTCTGCTGAACTGCAACATCACAGCAACTAAAGAATACACACCGCAGCAATATAACCTTTAGAAAGAAACTACCATGGATAGACTAAAGTCTTCAGCATTGAAAGGTCGCTATGAACTTCGGCGATTGTTTTTCATCAACGGATTTTTCCTGGCACTAACTTAGGGAAAGGTGCACTGAAAGTTCCTAAGGGCAATAAATCCTTGCGGAATCGAACCAGAGATCATCCACACACTGTGGACGTCTTATTTCACTGGACCATCCACTTTCGAAGTAAGATTTACAGCTCCATAAACAATAAGCGATCACAAGGATGATGAGATTTCAGAACAACATAGAAACTCGGGTGGAATTCAAACCTTGACTATCCTTGGCGAATAAGTGATCCTCCTCGATATCACTATCAACAATGATTGAGTTGCGTGAATTGGCCAACTTATCTCTTTTCTGCCTTTTACCACGCACTCCTTGATGAAACTTCCGTACAAATTTGAGATTTTGCAGCCAAGATGGGTGAGAAAATGAAATCAGGCGAAAAAACGATGCCTCTGACTACAAATTTACTATGAGAAAATAGTTAGGTGTGCACAAGGTAGTTTTACAGGCACCACTACGTCAAAAAGGTAAAGCAGTGAGAAAAAGACGTACGGAAATTTACACCCTCCGTCTTCGCGAGTAAAAGGGTAAAAGAGAGAATAATCCCGCCGTTTACAGATGCGGAACTACGGAAACCTCCACGAACGGCACTGCCAGCGTTGAGCCGAGATCGGTGGCGCCAATCGAGCGGATTCCACAGACCTCATCAAAGCGTGTCAGGACCCCTTTTCTGGAATAACCGCGGCCCTTTAAGAAACGAATGAAATCATTGAGTGGTTGTGCTCAGTTTCTTTCAGGTTTTTGTGTTTTTCTTTTCCTCCTTCTTGAAGCGTTGTGTATTGCTAAACCTGTACTTCTTCATGCCAGATTGGAAGCAAATGTCGCTAAGTGAGGTCCGTGCTAAGGTCGACCAACATATTCGCAGTATAAGGGACTTTCCAAAAAAGGGCATTAATTTCAGGTGAGTTGTGTTCTTTTTTCTAGGGCGTTTTTGAATATATAAATCTTTTCAGGAAAAATTTGCATTTTCCATTCTAATGTCGTTAATTTTTATTTGCTGCCCACTAATTTTTAATGGCCTCCTAACCGTTCACCGCCTCACCGTGGCTGCGAGGTGTTCCTGGGTGTCGGACTGCGATGTACAGCGGGTGATTCATCCTTGCCCGCAGGGTCTCCCAAGATGAGAAGGAGTCCGGCGTTTCCATCAGGAAGCCTAGCTAAGAGTAAACCAATACCAGGACCAACCACTGCCCTGGTATCAAAGTCGCGTGGTGGTAAATCTCCTTCTAATTCACATCGGCTGCGACTGCTTGTGGTGGTGAAGACTTGGGGCAAACTTTGGCCATGCTGACCTCGGGACTCCAAGGAACCATAATGGCTTAACCAGCAAATCTCCGAAAAATGGAGGTTATGCTGGAGCCCGCACAACCACTTAGGACGGACCATTCAAGTATCAAGTATTTTTTAATGGAGGGGTGCGTGTGGCGCAGCGTTCGCAGGCGTCCTGCAACACACACGTGGAGTCGGTCCCAGCGCCCATGGCCCACCAAATCTCCCATTCCCCGGGGTCAGTAGATTGCTACCAGACTTATCTGGAAGGATAGCAGCACTGGCTTGTTACATCGGTAGACCACTGCGAGTCATTGTAAAGGCCAGATATGCATTCAATCACCTTCAGACGATTCTTAATGAAGTCGAATACCTGGCGCATCCCACAGGGATTGATCAACGCCGAGAGCTTTCTTATCTTTTTCTTTTAATTCTTAATGGCATGGTCCTATGTGAAATATAACCACAGTGTTGCTGAGATATTTGCAAAACTTCGGTCTGCTGGTATCTGCGGTGGGGACCGAACACGCTATTACCCTCTGCGAGGACTAACGCATTCACCACCACACGAGTCCTCCGGAGTTTTGCAAATATCTCCATTCTAATTTATCTATTGTAACGACAATTATACCACTTAATCTTCTGTTACTACTTGAATAGTTGGATGACCCGTTTTCACTGGTTGTGCGGACTCATCACGATTTCCACTTTCTCACAGTTTTGCTGGTTTAACCATTGTGGTTTTCTCGAATCCCAAAGTGAGGCTAGCTGTAGCCTTAGCTCGCGAGCAACCCAGGCAATAACCGCTTGTTGATGAGGGGAGATTTGCCATCACGCGACTAGTTTGATACCAGGCCGGTGGTACATCCTGGTACTGGCTTACTCTTAAGTGGGCTTCCTGATAGGAACTTCGGACTCCTTTTCACCTTGGGATGTAGTGTTGCAGGATGGATTTTTCCGCTGTACATCTCATCCCGAAACTAAGGAAGATCTTCCAGCCACGATAAGATGGTAAACCGTGGTGTGGGGGTCTTCTCTTACTACGACAGTGTTGGATTCTGAGATTTCCACATAACATTGCGCTTGCATTGACCAGGAAATTACTAGCTTGGCGGCGATATCTTTTGTGTCCGGTCAATTTGTGAATCATGTATAGTGAACTTCACAGCTTCCTTGTTTTAAGTTTGTTGTTGCATGTTGTCGTGAATCTTCTGTGGACGTTAATTCTATGTATAATGTTGATTAACTGTCAAGCAGTATAGACCACGCTTCTTTCTACATTTGTATCAAAGCGCGTGAGGTTTTCATAAACTAGAATGTTTCAGGGAGAAACTAGAGTACTCCATTTCAATCGAATTATATGAGCACATCCCAATTCTTAAGTTTAAGGGTCACGATAAAGTCAAGTAATTAATTGTAAACCGACTTTCATTTAGTTTCGATATTAATGATTAAAATACCTTATTTCATTGATAAGCTAACACGAGGTTATTACCAATGTTTATTCGGCTAGCGTTCCGACGTATTCATCTTCATTACAGCCGATGAATCGAGTGTCGATGGTCCTCAGTTGTTCATCTTTCGATTTGGCGTCTTCGTTATTGTACCGAGTTGGATCTTCAGCGAAGTACCGGTCGAATAAAGAAACCTCACCTGGTAGTGCTCTTTAACGCAGGGGGTTGTTGTTGATGTGACTATCCGTTGATAAAAATTTGTTTTTCAACGGGTAATCCACCCTGCAGCAGCAGTCGATATATGTCACTTAGCATATAACGAACAGCAAAACAATTTTCTATGGATCATCGGTGGGCCATCCACTTGGATAATCGGCTCTGATGAAGATGAAGACGTTGAAACGTTAGCCAGAATAATAAATGACGGTTAGTTCGAAAATTGTCCTGAAGTAGTTGTCTTTTAGAACTTGGTACTAAACCAACATTAATGCTTAGAAAGGTTCTAAAAAAAAGTTTTAAAATTGTGGGAAAATGGCATATAACGTGAACAGATAGCAGAGAAACTGTTCTAATTATTCACAGATTCACTGGACCACCTTCCCATTAACCTCGGCACTGATCGGTATTTTTTTTATTAATGAGCATACACCAGGTTGTTAAAATAATGTTGTTCGACTTGTTGCCAACGTTTCGACATTTCTCACATTCTTCACAGCCCAGAGAGAACAATTTGAAGGAAATGTACTCAATCAAGTATGTTCATAGCCACATCAGATGAAACACACAAAGCCTAGATTTCATTCGTATGGGAAGTAACCCTGTCTCAGGTTAAGACCTGTTTACAAAGCCCTTCCTTGTTCAGTTTTTTTTCTTTTCGAATTTATTCAAAATGCCCCAAGAGTTTTACGCGCTAACATTTGAGATTATTTGTGTGGGAATAGTGATTTCTATTTTAAGATTTTCTCGGTCAACTCTAACTAAAAACGGTCGTTAAATGGTGTCACCTGTATCACCTGTAGTCCTGTTGATCGTCGAGTGACTAGAGCGGACACCAGTAAATCTTCCAATTTCCCTGTCGCGTGCAAGAGTAGCCCAGTGGGTTCTGCTCGCTCTAGGAACTCGTTTAGCATCATATCTTTCTTCTACGCTTTTCATGAACAACTCTGCCCATGGAGTCGGTGATCGTTAACATCCCGAGGATTCGAGTCACTAACGGCTCTTTCCATCGGTTGTTACTCATACGCATTACGTGACCAGCCCACCTTATATTCGACTGTTTGGCGTGTAGAACAGCATCTTTGATTTTTGATCGTTGACGCAGATCGGAGCTACGGAACCCTTCTCTTGTGTGAAACGGTATACTCCTGACATCGTCCTTTGGACTGCGCGTTCGATAACGCTGAGTGATCTTTAATCCTGCTTACGCAGCGACCAGGTTTCTGACGCATACGTTAGTGGAGGAAGTACCGCTTTGTCGAAAAGATGGGCACAGAGTCGGATGTTCTTTGTTCTCTTCACCACATCCTCAGTGCTCTTTAAAGCTCCGCAAGCCGCTCGTTTCCTTCTGCTCAACTTTGAAGTTAAGTTGTTCATCATATTGATTTCCCGACTTAGACGTTCTGTTGAGCGTGAACGGGGCATACGAAACCAATCCGTTCTTCATGAACATCGCTTTGTGAGATTTGGTCGGATACCAATCTTTCCACAGGCTTTATCAAAGTCGTCAAGCATCCGTTTCGCTTGGCTAATGTTTGGTGTTATAAAGACGATGTCATCAGCAAAGCGAAGATGGTGTAACTGCCGACCATCGATTTTCACTCCCATATTATCTCATTCCAATGTTCGCATGACGTTCTATAAAGTGGGGGGTAAATAATTTTGGCGAGATGGTATCGCCTAGCCCAACTGCGCTTTTGACGTCAATGAAGCAGATTGGGCGATAGTTGCCGATATCGTGCAGGTCACCCTTCTTGAACAATAACACGATCTTGCTGGTCTTCCACTGGGTAGGGACCGTACATTCAGGCAGGTAACGTGTGAAGAGCCGAGCCAGTGTCTTTACGAGGGCTGGCGGAAGATTCTTCAGGTGTTCTGGTCCTATCCTGTCCGGACCTTGTGCTGTTCGATTTTTCACCGACGAAATGGCATGTCGGATTTCGGAAGGGAGAACCGGTGGTGCAACATATCCATCCTCCTTTATTTCATATGACAGATGGTGGACGTAGCTATCGAAGAGATCCGAGTGGTATTCGTGAATCATTTTCTCTATTGCCTTTCTGGACGCTATAACTGTTCCGTCTGGGCGCCGGAGAGCAATCATTTTGGTCTTGTAATTGGCGAAGCTTCAGTGGGCTTTGCGAATGGTTTTCCCAGCCTCTGCAGCTTCTGCCATTACTGCTGCTCTTCTCTCTCTAAGATCTTTTTTTATCTTCTCTCTGCATTGTTTTGCAAATTCGGATGTTAGTTCGCGGTTGCCTGCACTTCCACGTTGCGTTTCAGCTCGAGTGTTTCTGGAGACAGGCGTCTCTTGGTGACTTTCGAACTCTGAGCTTTCATAGCGCTAGCGTGAAGATGTTGAATGAGATGATAGTATTCTTCGTCGATGTTATCGACAGCGGCATTTTCCCAACAGCCGACTAATGAATTGAATAAATCCCAGTTTACGGTGGTTCTGGGACGTCGGTTTTGGAATTTAGCGGCTTTTTCTCTTTTCTGCGAGAAATGGAATCTTGCACGAAGGAGGTGGTGGTCTGATCCCGTGTAGAATTTGGAGGCAACAGCGACTTCGGTTAGGCAAAACCTTCTGTTTACTTAGTACGAAGAAGTTGAATGGTAATCTGTCCATAGTAGTTTGTTTTTCCTCAAGCAGTAGGTATAGGTACTAGATTAACTCGTACACAGTGAACTAGTACTTCTGTAAGCCGGCTTTCATTAAGTTCAGAATGGATAACGAATGTCTTGATTGTTAATTGTCTTGCCCTAGTTCGTATTTCGAGAATCAAATTTTTATAAGCATACCCAGATAATTGGGTATTTGGATGGCCCGTCTTCACTGGTTGGGCGAGCTCCAGCTTGCCTTCCGTTTTTCGGAGTTTTACTGGTCTAGCCGTTGTAGTTCTTTGGAGTCTCGAGGTCAGCATGACCAAAGTCTGCCCCAGGTCGTCACTACCACAGGCAGTTGCTGCCCTTGTGGATCAAATGGAGATTTGCCACCATGTGACTAATTTGATAGCAAGACGGTGGTGAATCCTGGTATGGGTTTACTCTTAGCTGAGATTCTTGGTAGAAACATCGGACTCTTTGTCAGCTTGGGAGACCCTACCGGGGAGACGAATCCCCCCGCTGTACATCGCAGTCCGACACCCATGAACACCTCCCAGCCACGATGAGGTAAACCGTTGGGAGGTAAATGCAAGTATTTAAAGGGGAAGGTTTCAGGTTGGTGAAGTTAGCAGTATTAGTGGCTATTTTTGTGTTCCATTTTTTTCAGAGACATCATGCCATTATTTTCTCATCCTTCCCTTGTGGAACAGCTTTGTTGTGCTATTGCTGACCACCTGCGAACAGAAGTTGGAAAAATTGATGCCATTGCTGCACTGGAAGCTCGAGGTTTTCCTATTGATACAGTCTTATACTATACGTCTAGGTAGTAACAGGCCCGCTCTCATGGATAGCGCGACATTTAGCATCATTTCCTTCTTGCTGACGTTTTGCCTCCAAAATGGTAAAAGATAAAGCTTTCGACATTGACCATTCCCTGAAGGAGGCGCCATTCATTCGACTTAGTTAAGCACCGTTGGACGTGATTTATTGCAAATCTGGCCTATATAGTGACTTGCGACGGCCTACTTTGATGATCAGATCAGTGCTGTTATCCTGCTAGACGAGTATTATTTTAAATGTATAAACTAAACGTTCTTTTAGCTTATCAATGAAGAAATAAGCGTTCTTTTATGTTACGGTTTGTATTTATCGAAGATGGAGCGAGAACAAATAACCTGTCAATATATTAGCTTGTAGGTTTTCTCTTTGGACCTATTGTTGCCATTCGCTTGGGAATTCCATTTATTCCTATAAGGAAGAAGGGCAAACTTCCTGGTGACTGTATTCAAGCTTCTTATGTAAAGGAATACGGTGAGGTAGGTATTACTCCTTTCTTTTCTGTTTCAGTGCACTAGGTTAGCATTATTAGCTTTTTTACTGTTATTCCACTGGCCCAGTTTCCGCTAGTATCTCATTTTTAGGACATCATTGAAATCCAAAGTAATGTCGTTTCACATGGATGGAGAATAGTGATTCTTGACGATCTATTAGCCACTGGAGGCACTATGAAAGTATGGCACTATTAACATTCTTATTACACAAAGTCCAGAGACAGTCCAATCACGGTTTTTCCTCAGAAAAAAACCGTATCCTGGCATAATTTTTAAGCCTGACATCTGCTGTTTTTCTACCAGTCCTCTACGATATGGTAGGTCGAACTGTTTGTAGCTTGCGTCAACCGTCGCGCCCACAGATGGAAATTATTTCTGAATCATGGAATGTACCTGGTGGACGTCACCGCTTTGAAAACCACCATTTCCACCATAATCGAAGATTACGTGAGAAAGATACCAACTTTAAATTACCAATAAATAATACCTAAATCGAATTGTGGCACGGAAAGCACAACAAGAAGGAAGAAGTAGATTGCCACTGGGATACCCTAGCCAGTATGACACACGCCTCATCGCGTGGATAGCCGAACCCCACACAATTGATTAGACGCCGTTGCCAATGTGTTAATTGCAAGACGGTCATTATCATGTGAATCACACATTGCTTGCACAGGACAAAAGCAGCTTCGCTTTTCAACTTTTTTGATAACCGTAGACCAGCTCTTAATGAATTTCATTAATTGAAGTAAGCACTTGGAAATTTTCCTCAAGGCATATTTTTAAAGTCCACATATTTTACAACGATGAAATTATGATTTACTGGAACCTACAGGACCATTTTCTGTTCTTTCTTGTTTTGATACGGTCGCAGATTGTGAAAAGTGAAGCGGTTCGACCACCCCGACCAAAGGGTGCAATGATGTCTCCGAAACGCATCGTTGTTTACGACTGTCATGTTTCGTGCACTGTTTCGTAAAATCCCGACATAGTCTTTATTTGGAAAATCGGAATTCTAGGAAAATTCAAAATTAAAACTGCATCTTCAAAGTCTTTCTACATGCCTTAGCTATAGCAAAGTCTTGAATTCAACTGCCATTTATTGAACTAAATCCGCACATAAACCGAAAACTGATATCCAAACTAACGATTACTCAACAACTAGTGTGCACACATTTTGTTTCCTTATCATAGAACGTCAAAGACACCTCTTCTATTTTTTTAGGCTGCCGTGGAGGTTATCAGCAAAGCAGGTGCTATTGTTAAAGAAGTATTTGTTATTGTTGAGCTCACACCATTGCACGGAAGGGACAAAATTCTAGAGGTTCCCGTTACCTCTCTTATAAGTTACAATGAAGCTTGAGTGTAGCAATCTCATACCTCGCCTTGTTATTAGGCAGCAGATATATCATTTGGATTTGTGATATATAGGTACGGTTTCTATTTTTCGCCGATCATATTCCATTGTTTTCAAGCTTAACATATACAAATAAATGAGCGTTTTTAACTATATTGTCTAAGATGTCATAACTTGCTTCAAGCTAAACTTTACTAGTAAAAGTAACAGCCATTTGAATCTACACATTTTTGCCAACGAAAAACAAATTTGTTTACTCCAATTGCTTACAATTGTCGAATTCCGGAAGCGATTAATTCGTTGAAGGCATTTTCTGCGTCATTGTGGTTGGTGAAAGTATTTCTCAGGCAGAAGTTGTCAAGGTGCTTGAAGAAGTAATAGTCAGTAGGCGAGAGGTCTCCCCAATATGGCGGATGAGGCAAAGTTTTGTAGACCAACTCCTTCAAATTCTGTGGCGCTGGTTCCGCAACGTGAGGCCGGGCGTTGTCGTGAAGGATTAGCCCTTTACTCTTGACTAGTGCCGACCGTTGTTTTTTGAGCTTACGGTGCATTTCGTCGATTTGCTGGCAATACTTCTCTGCCGTAATCGGTTCGCCCGGATTCAAAGCTGTGATGAATTAGCCTCGCTGCAGACCACCAAATAGTCACCACAACCATTTTTTGGTGCGATGTCGGCTTTGGATCTTGATTGCAATCCAACCGTTGAGCTGAACGTCGCCGGCTATTGTACAGAATCCAATTCTTATAGGACATCACAATTCGATCAGGAAAAGGGTCGCTTTTTTTGCGCAGAATTAGAGCAGACGATACTTCAAAACTGCGATTTTTTTCATTATCGTTTAAATCGTGCAGCACCCACTTGTCGAGTTTTTTAAACCTTTCCTATACGATTCAATTGAGTGGGAGTTGTTCCTGTGCTGACGTCAAGCTGTTCTGAAGCTCTCGAGCAGTTGTTCGAGTGCTTGCTTCCTGTAGTAGTTCCTTCAATTCGTCGTCGTCAAGTTCATTGGAACGTCCGCGGCCTTCCCTATCTTCGAGGTTCAAATCACCAGGTCGGAATTTTCGGAACTGTGTTCGCACTGTTGATTCACCAACACGACGTTCACGCCAAACTCCATTAATGTTCCGAACCGTCTCTGCTGCATTGCGACCGAGTTTGAACTCTTGGAAGAAAATTTGACGGAAATTCGTTGCTGATACCTAACATTGCAAAGCTCAAAACTGGTAAGAAAAATTTAACTTTTGACTAAATATAAAGAGGCTAGAAAGAGCATAAAATAGCTTTCTAATGACATATAGTACTGCAAGGTATAAAGAATATTTTGTTGGTAAAAACATATTAAAAGAATAAATATTTCAAGATGCTCATTTATTTTTGAACATCCTAAAACATCAAAGTATACAGGTTTAAATGCACTGATTGAAACGTGAAGAATGCGATGAATAATGTACGATACCAGTCAAATGAGGAGCCTATAAAGGCGTGTGAGAATACTTAGAATACTAGCATACTATATACTAGCACACACGTCAGCTAAGCGCTAGCGGAGACCATTTGGATAGCACGGCTAAAAGTAGTAGTAAAAGCATAATAGTGTAACAAACAACCAGAACGAAAGCTTATTAAAGGATATGCACGAACAGGAAACAAATGCAAGTATGGAGTCGGAAGTGAAAACAGGATAACAAACGTAGAAAACGATGTGTAGAAAGCATTTTAAAACAAAATTAGTTGGAACGAGCAATGAAGTGTGAACAACATAGAAGAAAATATAAACCTCAAGAAATGTGGCAAGTGTAACAAAGTGGAAAGATGGCAGATTTGTGAAATCTAAAGCAGATCAGGGTGATGGAAAGTCACATGGAATGTTTGATTATTCTTATGAAAAAACAATTTGTACAGAATTATGATAGAGTGTGGCCAGCCATTAAATGTTAACACTTCCACACTTTCAGCTCACAACCCCAAATTCATGTTGGAGTGCCTGCAGATCGTCAATCATTGTGTCTAAGTTCTCCATTTGAGCATTCAATTCTTCAGTTGAATTGGACGGCTGAAAACATGTCTACAGTAATATTCGAGCGTAGATGATGCTACAGCACACATAAGAAAAAGTGCAAAGTCAATTCAGTCAAATAGTACCCGCACTGCAGCAGGATTGACAGTGGGAACCACTTCGGACTGAACTTGCTTCTTCTCTGCTTCGATATCAGACGAACATGATGCGTATGAGCTGAAAAATTTGCACCTATACAGCGTTGTTCACTTGACGGACACTGTACTACAAAAAGAAATGAATTACGTGACCACAATATATTTCTAGACTAATTGTCCTGTAGCTTAGCTAATACACCTGTATATATTCGTGACGTTAACTCTGGGCTGAGCAGTAGCACGTCCCACGGGAAGTTGTCGACCACCCGCCGCAACGACTACAGGACGGGTTTGGTGCTGAGAGGATGCCTGACCACCGTTAGGTGGTAGAGGTGGCGTAGCTGATAGCTGTGTGAAGGATCTGGAATAATCTTTGTCGGTTTCCTTGATAGTCAGCACAGCTATTATGTGTCCTCAATGTGCAAAGGAATTTAGAATGAACTAAAAACGAACAACTTACTTTCTACTTTATACGGCTACTACTTTACTCTTTATTCTCTTTTATTCTTTTGTGTTCTTTATTAGGAATGGTGAACAGAGAGGAAAAACGCTGGGAGATAGGACACCAAACCTAGCTATGGGATTCCTTCTTTGATTATCCCGTCAAGCCTTTGGAATAATTCCAACTTCTGAGTAATAGAAAGAGAAGTCGTCTACCGATCATCCATGGCAGTCAGCCTTCGGTGGGTTTAGCTGCGGAAACGTATTTTCAAGGGAATTGTTTACGCCTGCCGGTTCTACACTTATAGTCAAATGGAATAACGATCTACTCGCAGAAATGTACTTTACGATGTTGATTCATGTCGACGTCAAGTGAATTGGGCTTCATTTTCACTCACTGAGAATTAAGTGGTAGGATCTCTCGTACTTTTTTTCCGTAAAGAGTGTAAGCAAAGTGCGTTGAAGTACAGTGATTCCGACGACGATGATAAGATATGTGAGAAAGGAACGGCCCAAATTTAAACTCCTAAAGTGGCTCAAAAAGCAGATACGCAGATGGACTTACAGTATACAACGGTAAAACTTCTCCACTAAAGACAATTTTGTAGAATCATTGGTAGTTAGTTTTATGGGGAACTTAATGAGTCCTTGAAGTCACTTGTACGCCAATAAGTGGGTATTCGCTCAGAGACTGTCCTAGTGGAAGACATTTGATTGGCACGTATAGGTATAGGAAAGCATTTCACAAGGAGATCGTGCACTAGAGATTGAAAACAGGACAGATTACGCAGCAATAGAATTGGTAGAATAATGATGAAGTGGAAAGCGTGAAGGGGCATTGCTATGGTGGCCATGGTTAAATTAACGATCGACTACTAGATACTGTACGCATATCAGCAGTTGCTTGATTCAGTACGTTGCCTCGCATGTGTCATCTATGGAAATTCTTCGGTTTTAAGAGTAGGTTCTACTGCTACTTGAGGATTTTCTCTCCATGAATGTCGGCGAATGTTAATCGAACTAGTTTCTACCAGAATCTTGGGAAAGCTTTGCTAGTACATTTCTAAGTTCCAATACTCAGCCTCTCCCAACGGTATACCGCCTCATCGTACCTGGGAGGTATTCCTGGGTGTCGGACTGCAACGTACAGAGGGCGGATTCGTCCCCCCCCCCCCTCCCACGGCGTTTTCATCAAGAAGCCTAACTAAGAGTAAACCAATACCAGGATCAACCACCGTCCTAGTATCAAAGTGGCATGGTGACTAATGTCCCTCTGATCCACAACGGCTGCGACTGCCTGTGATGGTGAAGACTTGGGGCAAACTATGCCCATGCTGACCTCGAAACTCCAAGAAACCATAATGGCTTAACCAGCAAATCTCCGAAAAATGGAGATTGTGCTGAGGTCCACATAACCAGTTCCAGTATCATGTAAGTAATACTCAGCCAACGACAATGTGAATGGGAGTGGGCTTTTCCCATTACCAATTATCCAATTTCGGAATAGTGACTGAACTGGATATAGTGCGCTAGTTCACGACACCTCTAAGCATTGCCCCTCTCTCGCTCCCATCTGTCATTTTGTTAGGTTTTCCTTCAAAGTACTGGTATTCCTACGTCTTTAAATCACTCTGTTTCTACGGAAAATAATAGTCCGCCGAAGTAATGGAAATTCTGTATTGGCCATTATAAGTAAATAAAAGTAAATTCACGACAAAATTTAGCAAACAGGACAATACTAAGTGTAAAAAATTCTGTTTCGTCTGCTTCACCTTAACTTTATTAGAAAAGTAAAGGGTAGAAGCTACCGGCTCAGATGATTGTGAATTGCACGTAAAAAGTGAATATTTAAAAGTGGAAACGAATATGCTAGCGAAACGGGCAGACCAATCTGCGCCCATATAAAAGAGCATCTAGACGGTAAGTGTAATGCCAACCCGGCTTTCGCTTAACTTCAGCGTTGATCAATAGTTCATCATTTTTCTTACAAAGCAAATACGAGGTTGTTATCATACTACTTAGCTATGCACAACAACTGATGCCTAGGCGGTTTCACCTTCTTCAGAGCCAGCAAGAGTCAGATTGACACGCAATCCACTCAGCCAAATACCGTCAAAACCTCAGCAGACAAAACAATACATAGATCGCACAATAAACGGCTTCTTTGAAACACTCACCTAACTCGATGTTTTTCTTCGATAAGCGGACATCGAATTACCAATCAATGCTCAGGTTAAAAGAAAGTCGGTCATGGGACTCACCTAACTGTTCTTAAGTTCTCCGGTTGTTATTGGATATCAGCCGCAAGGATCTTCACACTGGGATAAAGGAAACTGGCTCTCATTTTTGAACTCCCAAATTAGTCTATCCGAAAACGGCTATACCAGCTGGTGGTACCGAAACCCAAGTAAAAAACCTATTCATCACCTCTCCTCTCACTCTTCACACATAAAAAGGGTGCTTGGAATAAACATTCTTCACACAGCCACTAGTGTATGCACAGTAAGAAAGCAGAAGGAAGAATCCTTCAAATTGGCGCGACAAATAGCCATATCCAACCAATATCTGGACTGTGTAAGCTATCCAGTGAATACAAAACGTAGCAAAACAACTGCAGAAAAATAAATCGCCGAAGAAATATATGAACCAAAAGTGACTCATACGGTTCGTCATGTACCCTTACTATGGTTGAATCATATACGACTAGCACGGTCGCCAATGCGTTAAATAATGAAAGAATCCCACACGAATGGTGGACTAGATCAATCAATTTGTGAAATTGTTTAGTAATGGATGTATGGAGTTATACCTGAATGGACCTTGACTTTGACTCGAGGCATTAGCGCCTCCACGAAGCGTTCGGTAGCCATCAATCATTGACGGTGGTCCCGGTGGTGGTGCCTGCATTGGCACAGGAGGTGTTGTTGTTAGCGCTGACGTCGATCCATAGGGGGAATCCCCAAGTTCTACTTTGGCAATTGGCTGCAAAACAAATATATGTTGACAAGTACCACATACTCCTCTCACTTTGACAGCTAAACTCAACTATCGAATAAAGACAAACTTGATGCCTTCCACTACCGGTGTAAACAACTTGTGGTGTGCGTTGTCTTTGTCCATCCAGACTCGATTCTGAATGATGATAACTCCTTGACAAAGTACCCTGACCTGAATATTTTGGATATTTAAGAACATCTAAGAAAGAGAGAAAAATATCTAAAAGATGCTAAAGAGTCGTAATTGACATTATATTAGCAGCATTATCATTGAGCATGCAACAATACGCAACATACTGTCTTCATATGTTGGTGCATAAGCAACGGTGGCAAGAATCGGCTTAGCTCGACCAATAACAACAGGGCGTCGACCTTCAAGATCCAAACGACGCAAGTCATCGTCATATGAGGACACAGAATGTCGAGTAGGTGTTCGAGTGTGACGAATCGACACTGTTCCATAGGTGGAATCTGTTCACATGAAAAACTACGAAAACATGCAGAACAAATTACACGAAACATATGAAAAACAAATAGCCAAGGCAAACAATGGGAGTATCGCCGAGAATAAATTGTGTTGAACAAATTGCACTGATAAGTTACTTCCACGATGATCATGGATAACAACAATACAGAGGATGCCGAATTATATGAAACAAAAATTGCACAACAATTTCTACATGCAAAGTTTATATTCAAAAAAATTTTTTAAAATACCTAATGTCATTATTATATTATATTATTAATATTATGTTGTAATATTTATAACATAATATTGAAGGATATCTTAAAAATATAAAAAAATATACCTTGCATAGTATGATACCTCGGTGGAGGAGACTCAACAACTTCAGGTCCTGTCAAACTTTTCATGTCTACGGCAGAAGTGCCAATACCATTCATCATATAATCAGAAGCTGTAGAAAACAGTATTCTACCACGGTATTCTCAAAATACGGTATTAATAAGAACACAACTCACGTCCGCCACGAATATGGTTTCCGCCGGGATGATCAATCCAAAGGTCAGCATTTGGCCGCTGCGCATTCATTTTCTTTCCAGGAGTATATCCTTTCTGATTTCTAGCAGTTCTAAATCGATGTGTGTAACAATGCGTTGATACATATATGTATATATATATATACACATACACATATGTATATATATACGTTTATTATATATTCATATATGCATACATATAATATATATGAATATATACACACATACGTAACATTCAAGTATCAAGTATACATATATGCACATATATACACACATGTACGTATATTTGTTTATACATACACATACGTATACACATATGTACATGTACATACGTTGCATATGTATATATATATATATATATATATATATATATACAAATATGTAAAGAGACAATAAAGTTCTTGGCGTTGATCAATTCCTAGGGGTTCACCATGCATTCGGCTTAAGCATCGTTGGAGGTAAGTGACTGCATACATATCTGGCCTTTACAATAACTCACAGTGTCTACCGATGTATCGAACCAGTGCTGTTATTCTACCACGTAAGTCTGGTACCAATTTGCC